TCCGTACCGTACCTGCTTGCCTGCGCTGCAGCTGCTCCTGCGCCTGCGCTGCAAGCCTGGAAGCCTGCACCTCCCCTCCCCTTGCCTTGCCATGCACGTTTCGACCGCGACCGCGACCGCGCCTTCCACCTTGGGCGTGCTTGCCAGACATGGTGAAGAATGAGGGCAATGTCTCGAACAGAGAGAACAACATACATTTTTTTTACATGTAGTGAGGTACTCGATATTACCTACTTGAACTTCGTATCAGCAACCCCGAGAAAACAAACCCACATTCTAGACGCTCGCTTGATTTCCGAACGTCAGGCCTGAATGTGAATGGCTTGCACCTCCCTTTTTTTTTTTTGTCCCGCCTCGTAAAGTCGTTCATCTTGTCTTGTCTCGCGTCCTGTCGCTTGTTCGCACCCTCTTATTTTATTTTCTACCGGATATTTCCATTTCCCATTGCTCCCGCCTCCCCTGCCAGCATCATCTATTTCCACCACCTTAAAATTATCAGGGTCCCGATACTATGGCCACCTGAATATCTTTCTAGGAACCCAGCAGCTAGTGGAGTCTCTCCGTCCGCATCCTGGCTCCAAGAGACACGATAGCGTCTGCCGCCACAGCCTGCAGACAACTCGAAGGCTTGTCAAGACTCGAGGAGCCTACTAGAGGCCTGTCCGGCAACGCATTTCGACGACCCCCGATGCCATGGGCCCCAAACCGTCCGGAACCGAGCCAACAATGGACCAGAGTCACCAAAGCGCTTCCCAAAGCCCAGTCGTGTTTTCGCGTTGCCGGTCCCCGCAACTCATCCCGTCTTCCACTTCCTCAACCGCTTTCTCGTCTTTTTCTAATCACTCCTGATCCAATCCGTCTCGGACCCTCCCTCCCTCCCCGGTCGACCCCTTCTCCGTGCGTCTCGTCCATCCTCCATGGCCTGCCATCGCTATTCTAAGCCCCAGGATCCGGTATGAGGGAGCCTCGTCCTATCCGATACCCGTTCGCCGATCCAGTCATACGCCGAAGCCTCTCCGCCAGACTACGCCATAACACCACACGGCTCCTCCAGTACTTCTTCCTAGTAAGTCGGTCAATTCAGGCGGTCTTACAATGCCGACGCCGCCGCCGCCCGGAACACCAAAATCGCACCAGGAACGTCAGAATTCGCGTCAGCGACGACATCTGAGGTGGCACAGGACAAGAGCACGAGCAGCAGCACCTTTTGGGGCTGACACTTGGCTTTCCTCAGCTGAGGAAGGAGGATTCGGCCCTCCTCCGATCGATTCCCCTAGTGACCAAGACTTCGGAATTACAATCAGGTGCCCCTCACTGTCGAGCCATCCATCACCTATTCGCCCGTCTGCATCGCCTACTCGGTGGTTTAGCATAACGACTCAAGCCCACTAAGAGGGCCGTCACATTGTTCCGTCACGGCGCCTAGCAAACCTCCCACTCCTTTCAAGTATACTGCCCAATCCAGAGGCCACGGATCAAAGCTTTGAGATGTGGCAGCTTGCAGGCGCTCACCTAGATACTTCGTCGGTTCAACGAGATGCTCTAATTCTCCGGTGATGGACTAGAGGTGAGACATTCACTCAGCTTCGAACGAGCAAGCCAGAGTATCGCCGCGCCCGCTCATCACAACACTTGGCATCACGGGACTTAATCACAACCAGAAGTAACCCACGACATCCATAGACCCGAACTGCCGTTGACCTCATTCTGTTCAAAGGAGTAGGCCCCCTACAATGTTACTTCCTCCGTTGTGGATTGGTCGGGACGGCCCTTTAGATTTGCGGCTGGCTCGCAAGCCACTTATACACATCCGTAGCCATGTGGCTCCAGGTTAGAGAAGTGTAGGGAAGCGGCTACAATCCGTGAACAGACAAGCAACCAGGGCGAAATGTCTCTGAGAGCTGCTAGATCGAGAAGCGGCCGAAGCTTGGCGGCTGGGTTACTTGTTCTCGTCCAGTCTTCCCGCCTGAACTAAGACAATGACCTTCTCTCAATGCATCGCAACTACTTCCAGCCGATCTATCGTTCGAATTTTCAAGTCACACACACTTTTACGTACAAGAGGCTGTGGCAGCTCACTTGGTATCCAACCAGCACAGAGCATCGCCAACTAAGGTGTCAATCGGACATTGTATACCACCACCACTGCTTGTGGCCTGAGACGGGGGCCCTGTCTTACCTGTATTGAAACTGCAAACAGTAAATCAAGACCTCTTGGTCGAGACTTCCCGTTCAACAATTTCATCCACGAGTCGAACGTTGCTACGATGGAACATTCTACTTGTTGTCACGTCGTTGTTTCGTTGCGCTAACGTCTTACACTACCAACTTGCTAAGGCTACTTAATGGTTCTCCCGTTTTCAACCAGAACTTAAATTCGAGCACTTGCTGGCAACTCCAACGCCCCACATTGAAAGGTGAAGAAGGCTCAGGACATCACATATGTATCGAGAAAACCAAATAGTCCTCAAGCTGGACTCCTGACCAAACTTTGCGGCTGAATTGCGCAACGTGGCTGCTGTTCATCTCACAAGCGTACCTGACTGGTCGCCATCGCCGACGTCATTGCTTCGACTCGGACAGTATACAATGCACGCATTGATGCAGCCTCTGGTTGCTCAAACCACCACTTTAGTTGAGTCGCAGAGAGGGACGGAATGAGCTAGACGTGCCCTCGTCATTGGTTGGGATCTAGGAACGGCCATTACGCTTCAAGCCCACCTCCTTACAACGACTACTACACGGATGTCTCCATGAGCTGGAGTGATGAGAGTGTTCTGCAGGCGCCCGACCGAGCGGGACCCGTGTGATGAGAAGCAGAGGTGCACTCGCGGCTACTCGTTCCCAGATGCAGTGCAACCCTCAGTCGGATGGCTCCCACCGCGGGGCGCAGGAGACATACATATTCTGCCAGTGAGCTTCCACACAGTATTGTGGTGTGGAGCTAACCCGGCGTGCCTGGTAACCGCAAGTGCCATCTTTGGTCGCCTTTCGAGAATAGCATCGGCAGTCCGGCTCGGACTGCCAGCTCCGAGTTGGGGTTTCCCACCTTTCCCTACCCGGCAACACGAGCCAGAGGCAATTGTCGACGTTCATACAAGTCTCGCGAACCAAAGAGACAGACACAAGAGAACGGCCACATTTTACGTAGTGTCAGCCAAGATGTTTCCTACGAGGGACAGGCAGCTTCCAGACCGGGCAAAGATGAATCTTCCTAGCACTTGGAAAAAACCTGCATCTAGACTCTCAGCCACCCGCATCGCCATGCCGTTCTATACAAGGTTTGTCAACTGAGACCTCCCGCCAACCCAACTGTCTTTACGATACGTCCGCAATCAAAACGTACGGCGGAAGACGATCCGTGAACGCTTCCCGCTCCCCACATTCCTCCCGCCGCTTTCCTTGAATCTAGGGGTGCGCAGATCGACGTCAGTTCCACCAATCTGCTGTTTGGACCGAATTCTCCTTGTCGAACGGGGCAAGTTCCAAAAGCTCCGAATCCCCCAAACATTGGGCTTCTCCGGGTCTTGGCATATTTTTTTCGGCTTCAGCTTGCCGGCGGTCCTTCGATGATTTTAATGCTGCAAATGAAGCGGCCACCGGCAAGTTGTATGAAAATATCGAAGTTTAAGAGACGCTGCATTTGTGGTTGCGATGAGTCCACCTCAGGTCCGGTAAAGCGATGACATTCACTCTACTGTGTAGACCTACATGCAACCTCCATGCTTTTCAAGCGGACCACTACATACAGCAGGACGAAACCATGTTTCAACTGTTGGTTCCTGTCTCTGTCAGAGACTCTCCCCGGTCAGTCGACTTGTGGCAAGTCAGTGGTCAAAAACTTCCATGACATCTTCGATGGCTGTAGCGTCAATGGCAGTGTCTCCGCAAAACTCCGTCCAAATTCCTCAATGGACTTTAGGACACTGTCAATTCACTGGCGAGTTGCTAGTCTATCGCTATACGGCCAATTTTAAGGGAGTCCGGACGTCGCTATCGTCATTTAGAGTTCAGTGAGCTGTATCGAGCGGTTCAAGTGAGTCGTGCCTCGATGAACATACACTTATTTTGACGGGGATTGGCCATCCAGGAATGCGGGCGCGCGTTCCAGCAGGGTCGGCGCCCCTCGGACCTCGGATCGCAGACTCTACAAGACTCAGCCAGAGGTATTTCGGTCTCTCTTTTGGGTTCTCAAGGCCTGGCTCGATTTGGGGCATCCAGCCCGCCTCAAGGAATGGTTAGAAAAATACAAAGCCAAGTAACCTCGTTCCCTAAAATTCCTTGAAAAGGCTCTCCGAAATCCGGCGATCCAGGACTCAAACGGTCTCTCAGTCTGAAGTCGCCTTCGTCCATTTCAAGACAAGCTCCCGTATCTTTAAGTAGAAGCGAAACAAATGTCTGTTCTTTTCGAGTCTCTTGTTTCCTTCCTCGGGAGAGACACAGAGCGTGGAAAATCAGAGGGACCGATCTTCTGCAACCCTGGGAAAACACCAGGCTGAAGATCAACCGTCCAAGTCCCCAATGCGATGATAAACACCGTCGGAGAGGGATCTCCTCCCAATCAGGGGTTCTACAAAGGCCAGGTCAAGCCAAGCCGACAAACGGCTTCAGCCTCGCAACGTGGTTGTCTCCGTGGTTCGACCAGGAGCTCAGGGCGCTCGCTAACCAAACATGCGACGCACCCTGTATCGAAAGTTTCAGGAAAGCTCCTCAGAGCTTCTCGCCGGACCCCCTCCCAACATTTTCTCAAAGGTAGTCTCTTTGGGGTGCCGCCTGCCGCCTTGCGCATGCCAGTTATGTTTCTCTCCTCTTCTTTTCCTTCTTCTCGCTGCCTCTCTGCCATCTACGTAAAGTCAATCTTGCATTTGCATTACATCTGCACGCCGTCTCAACCCAGTTGATCCTTGCCAGCTTCTTGCTTCTTTCCCGCACCGCCTGTTCTTGCAAGCCGTATTCCGCAGAGTAGTTGCTTTGCCTGAGACGTCTTTGGTCTTGGAAACAAAGACACATACTATCGATCGCATTGCTGTTACCCACACTCGACGCGCGCATCAACACACAGACATATACACACATACCAAAAGAAAAGATCATCACCATGCTATCGAGCTTGACAACCAAGATCGCCCTGAGGAAGGTGGGCCTAAACAGCAAGAGCTTCGACTTCAGCGGCGTCGGCGGCGGTCCGACAGACTCAAAGAGCAGCAAGAAGGGTTCCAACGCGGGCCTCGACGATGACGCGGCGGACGGGAACGCGGGGGGCTGGCCGGCGTGGATGTCGATGAAGTCGTTGCCCATCACCGTCGCGCCGTGGTTCTCCCCGCCGCCCCCGCCGGTCCCCATCGGCGAGGTTCCGAAGATTGGTGAACTGGCCCCGTTGGACCGCGATAGGCAGCTCGAGTTTGGCCGTGGCCGTCCCGTTCTCGTTGTCTTTTTACGCTGCGTTGGTTGTGCTTGTACGTTTTTTGATCTCGTTGTCTCCTCCCCCTTACTTTCCAGCTATTACGTGATGTAACATAACAACACTTCCTCTTCAGCAAGCCTCATCATGACTAACATCTGTCCGTTCCAACATAGTCGCCCAGAAGACCTTCCTTGCCCTACGGGACCTGGCCAACAAACACGCCCGCACCCTAACCTGCATAGCCGTCTCACACTCCTCCCAGGCCGCGACCAACAAGTGGATCGACATGCTCGGCGGCGCCTGGAACGTACAAATCGTCGTCGACGAAGACCGCGCTATCTACGCGGCCTGGGGCCTGGGCCTGGGCAACGTGTGGTATGTCTTCAACCCGACGAGCCAGGTCCAGGGGTGGAAAGAGAAAGGGTGGTTGGGCGAAAAGGTGGCCGGGGCGATTCAGAGGACGGGCGGGGCTGCTGCTGAGAATGCTGCTTTTGCTGCAGCGAAGAAGCAGCCTCCGCCGATGGAGAGGAGGGGCACGGGGATGAGCGGTGCTTCGGCTGTGAGCGTTGGCGGTGGGGAGGACGGGGACGGGGGGGCGAGTACGGTTATGGGGAATAAGTGGCAGACTGCGGGTGCGTTTGCTGTTGATGGTCGGGGGACTGTTGTTTGGGGTGGCAAGGCTTTGAGGGCTGATGATCCGATGGATTTGGAGATGGGTGTAAAGGTCTTGGGGGTGTAGACGGAGGAGTTGGCGAGAGATGGGGTGGTCGCACTCTAGATATTTGCGGAAATGGGTAGGGGATGATGGGTCTGGTCAAGGCATGTAGGTATGATGGTAAGGCGTTTTGATAACAGGGTTTCGGATGGAGGTGGGGGGCGTACTTGTTGCTTTTGATAGCGCGGTCTGGTTATACAATGATGTTTTTAAGATTACAATGTTCCCTGGTGACGTGATGGCTGCCTCCTACTTCACAGGTCACGATGTCAATGGTTAGAAGTCAAGTAGCAGTCTCTTTCTATCGATGAGGGAGATTCTCTCGGCGAGGCGATGAGAGGGGTGTTGGATCCGGAAGTGCTTTCTCTCCGGTGATATGCGGCTGTTTATCTGAATACGTCAGAGCCTCGGCACTGAACCAACCGGTCCATGGTTTGTACCGCGGCTGTTAGTAAGTTGACCTTCTTCCAACTTTGGACGGACTGACTGAAGTTGAAGTAGAAGAAGTGCAGCAGACGTAGTATTCTATGGAATCCATCTGATGGACAGCTGAGAGCTCAATGGCGTAGACGGGTTAATTCCGTTGTGAGATGCGTTGCTAACGGTGATGATGTTGGCCGTGACGCAGAGCCACCGCATCTCACTCTTCTTTGCATATTTATCATCACGTGCACAGATAGTATGATGTGAAAGTGTAAACAGGGGGTATATACTTCATAGTCATGATCAAATTCTGACTTCTTCATCTCGGTAGTGTTGGTTGTCTCATCTTATTAGTCTTGGGGTTTTCTTTCTGCCTTCCAGCACGCTATCGAGTACGACATTCAACAAAGCTGTAACCTGGTCCTCGACCTTCATCCCCAATAGCGGAAGCCGCCTTTTCTTCTTCCACTTTTCTTCTAACTCAAAACTCACGAGATAACCCACATCGCGAAGCTGAGTAGGTAGGTGGGGTGTTGCCTGTTGGCGGGCGTCTTCTCTCCCAGCAAGAGAAGTCCAGAGCCAAACAGCACATCCACACCAAAGCCGACAAAACGCGGCTACCTACAAGGATCCCAACAACACTGCGAAGAGCACAAACCCCAGCATCTGGACAGCATCTGGGAGAAAGAAAAGATACTAGATTAACGGTCACCGGTTGTAGCATAGGCCGCATGTAACCAGACCCAAGACCCGTTGGTCGTTGGCAAGGCCAGCCCCCGACCCGACCCGACCTCTTTTAGTCTTCAACAACCCCACCATGCCCCGTTCGTCCTGCCCCCACAGTGCCATTCTCCGGAGCGGCCCGGGGGTCCCACCTACCCGGTTTCCCGACGTCTTTCTTTTTTTTCTTTTCCCAACTTTGGTTCTGACGTTGGATGCTGGGCAGGTCAGCGGCGCAGCGGCTACAACTTTGGTCATTGCATTTACGGACAAAGGATAAACCTCGAATCGTCTCAGTGGAATTAACCCAAGCATCAGGTATCACTCTAGCCCCCAAACTAAACGACAGAATCCCAGGCTTTTTCTCTGGATTTTTGTTGAATTGATATGAGGCGGAAAGGAGGACGTATTCATCACAAGCCTCCAAGGAAAATGAACCGATAAATCGAGATACATAATATGGAGAGACTTTTTTCAAGTCACTAATAGCAGCCACCTGGAATCCTTCCACCTCATCCGTGCATCCCCGACAGCTCCCATCCATACCTACCTTGAGCTCCGCATAATATATCAAAAATCCCAATATCAATAACAAGCAGCACGTAAAGCATCCCACCCCTTGGACAATCAATCCAAAACCACACAAAACCACCAACCACATTACCACGAAACTTTTGAAACCGGTCCCCAAATTCTCGCCGCTCTTCCCCCTCCCCAAATAAAGAACCCCCGACCAAACCGAGCGCCGCGGCCATCCCCCTCCCCCCAACCCCAAAAAAACGGTTCAAACGGGCGGAAGCGGCAACGGAACCTCCCGCAAGCCACCGGCCCGGACCCTTTTAACCCCCTTTACCCTCAAGGCTTCACCCAATGAGTAATCCCCTACTCCCACGGACCATGTACCCGTGGCAATCACACACACACACACACACACACACACACACACACATACACAATGTATCAAATAATAACTACAGCACATCATCATCATTACACTTCAATAGTCCGAGCGCACCTCATCACGATGGAAGGATGCCCATTTCCCAGCAAATCTCGACTCGGCCGCCGGACCGGAAACTTACCCCGTAATTCCCTTGCCTTAGTGTCTCCGGCACGCTAGACAACGTTCAACCCCGGTCCATCACACCTGTCACCCATCATCGGGGGGAGTTTAGTGAAAGCGAAAATATTGACTACCGGCTGTACTCCGTAGATCTTAATACCCTTCCCTCCTGCCGCCCTTTAGCGCCTGACCTTCCCTTACGTCTTCCTCTGGCAAAGTTACTAACAGACTCAAGGTTCGGGCCTATCCGGACCAAAAGAGGGCTCCGAACTAGACCTTTGGGGGGATCATGCTCTCCCCCGTCACTCCCTTCTAAAATCATCAACTTCAGCATACGACCACGAACATTCAGAGAGCAGATAAAACTTGGGGGGAGACCAAAATCCATGTATTTTCATTAAGTTGCTGCTCTGTCCTGAGCGAAGCGTGCGTGTCAAAACAAAACTTTAAGGAAAAAACAGGCCCATCCGATCCGTCTCCAACGCAAACCCATGTTGATGATCTAATCCGCATCTTTCCCGGCAAAAAACCCCTCTCTTGATGCGGTCAAGCTTCCCTCTTCTTTTCCGTATCGAAAAAGAATCACGAAACCCCATTATAGCCCTGGCCGTCCCGGTGTTCCAGAAACGGCCAAGGACTGAAAAGGCAAGTGAAGAACTCCTGCGGCGCAACCTTCCGGTGTAGAAACCCCCCCCCCCCCGGTAGCAGAAAGACAACGAAGAAAGGATCCCCCCCAAAGAAGCCAGAAACACCCCGATCCCCAGATCCCTGATTTTTTGTGTGATTTTTTTTCGCCGTGTGAAAAGAAGAGTCGTCTTGTGTGCTTTGTACCAACTCCCCGGATGTGCGTTTCCCAGTCCCAACCCATTCGAGTCAAACCAGATGTCGGAATCCACGCCCACGCCGTATTGAATGCTTGCAATTCGAATCATAGGTTGCCCTCCGACGCTTTTGGCACCCGAATCATTCCATGCCCAGCCCGAACGGACAACTGCCCAAAAGAACAGAAAAATGAATCGCCCTGCTCCGTGTTCACAGTCGCCTGAATTTCCCAGATCACCCGAAACAGTTCCTTAACGCTGTGATCTCCTTGCCAGCACCCTAGACAACTGCTAACCCCCTCTTTCGTGTTCCTTTGAAATGCATCTCCTTTTACCCCGTAGCAATACTGTTCGACTCCAAGGTTGCAGAATGCGGCCCCTGCTGATGGTGTGAAAAGAAAACTCCTCAAAAGATGCCGAAGGACACCCTCACTCCGAGTACCGTGTCGAGCCCGAGGTATATATCAAGTTTTCCGTTACCGTGGAAAATCAATCGATGTTGAAATCAAGCTGGAACCCCACCCGCGCAAACCTCCTAGCCATCATCCTCTTCCTGTTCAATTCCATAATTGCGCCGACGTTTCCAAAAGACGTGATGCGGTTCAAAGCGTCGAGTTCTTCTAGCCCCAGACGCTCGCGGGAGGCTGGCTCAGGCCCGAAGACTGGGGGCCCCACACACCATTTCCACGGCCCCAACCGCCAGGGGATGCCAGTGGAGTGGTAGATCTCTTCGAGGACGGGTTCGAGGCTCCAGCCTGGTTTCCTGAAGGTCGGGTGCCAATGGGAGCAACGGTCTGGCCCGACTTGGCCCCAGCCGGAAGCTCCTGACGCGGCGGGGAGCCGCCGGGCGAAGAGTTGTTGGTGCGGGCCACAGCCTGGCTGACCGCCGATTCAAACGCACTCTTGTTGTTGCTCGGGGCGTTAGGTTGAGGGCTGGCAATGCTGCCACCGCGCGAGCCTTGTTCGCCCGGGGGGCCAGCAATGGGGCCGGGACCGGCATCAGTCGCCGAAACGGGAGTGTGAGCATCACCGTGAGGAGGCGGGCCGCGAGCCGGGTCGTACGTCAAGGGAGATTGGCCACGCAGGCTGGAGGGGCCGCTATGGGTCGGGACACCAGTGCGCACGACTCCGTTCTCGTCGACATAGCCTGCCTTCTCAGCAAACGGACCCTCGCCGTACAAGGCGCTCCGCTGACGAGCAATCAAGTCGCGAGTCTCCTCCTCGGACATGGCCTTGGCACCGTAGGGGATGTCAGAAACGACGGCTGCGCGCACAGTTGGTTAGCATGGCTTCCTCCGAAATCTCTCGGTATTACGGGGAAGGGATGGACGAAGGATCTTTCAGGATAGCATCTTTCGACAGTGACATGACGGGGCAGCAGGATGCGCATGATGGTGAAACCCCTCGGCCTGAATTATCTATTTTTCTGCTTTGCTGGTTCCCCCCTGGCATATGGAGTATGTGTGCTATACAGAAGAGGGCGGCCTACTTCGTTGGTATTGCTGCTCAGTGTGCAGGTTTCGCAGTTCCCGCTCCCGTTGGGCGGCCATCCTTCTCTTGGCCTGCATCATCTGTTCCGCATCGTTGGAGCCTCGGGAGGGCTGGTGGCGCTGGGAGGCGTAAAAGTTCTGGAGGTTCGAGTTGGGGTGGCCTCGGGCATCATCGAACTGGTTCATCGAGTGCGGTCTGGGTCCGGGGCCGGCTCCGGCTCCCATGCGTCCGGCTGCGCATTACAAGTTAGTATCGGGAAGGCTGCGGTGATGCCCGCCAGTTGCGGGCAGACTTACTGAAGTCGAGGGATTTTCTGGCGGGACCATGACCGGCGGGACCCATCTTGGGACCACCAGGGGTTGGGTACTCACGTCCGCGACCGCCCATGCCGTATGACTTCCCGCCCTTGGCGAGATTCTCGTACGCACGATCAACCTCTGTAGGCCTAGCAGTCAGTGTCCGCACCACATCTATAGTAATTATCTCGTCAGCCTGGCTCTTCCTGCGCGCGACACATTGTAGGCGCAGGTACACGATGGATAGACACCCGCGCCATGGTATTGGAATGCCGCGCGCCGAAGATTTCGAGATGACCTACCCTCGAATTGGTAGAAGAATGCGAAGTCGTCCTGGGGCGTTGGGCCGCTGGCACCTGTTGGCGAGAACCTCGAGTCAATTCCGGCGTCTGGTTTTGCGATTTGGTGCTGTTGCGACAACTGGGCCGACTCACCAGCACGGGCAGGAGGCGCTTGGTGTTCCCAGTTGTTCTGGCCGGGATTGGACCATTGCGGGTTGTTCTCGTAGTAGGACATGGTGATGCTTGTGGTTGAGGGAGATGAAACCCGGTTGGCCACAGTTGTTGTCTGAGAGGTCGAGACGAAAGTGCCGCGCGAAAAAGGCCGGTCGAGGAATTTCTGATCCTTTCTGGAAGAAGGGAAAATCAGTTCAAGTCTTCTCACGGCGATGTTCGAGACCAGAGGCACGGTTGAGAAGCCTCAGGGGGAACGGTGTCGCAAAGGGATGGGTTGAAAGACGGCGCCGCAGTGTCAGGGGAGAGGCCAACGGGAAAGACAGGGAAAATAATTTTTTGGGTATGGGCGGCGGCGCGGTTAAATGTCTCGCGGCTTTTTTTGCGCAGGGGTTGTAGCGGACTGACAGGGAAACCACTCACCAAAGGGGAAAAGAGGGACGGGGTTTGTTCCTCGAAGTTGTTGCTCGGGCTCGAGTCAACGACCAACTGGTATGAAAGCAGGCAGTAGGTAGAGCAAAGAAAGACTCTTTTTCTGGCCAGAGATGCGCGAGAAGAATTTCTTTGCAGCGGACTTTGGTGCGAGAGCACTCGATTCGAGGTGGCGGTCGTCGGCTGGTGCGGTTTGAGGTGATGGGGAGAAATCAGGCGAGTGCTCCAAGATGGAGAAGAGTAGAGAGGTATGCGGGAAACGAGACGACGGCGAACTGGCGGGTCGAATCGGACGTATGGGTTACTAGGTGAGTGGGTGGGTGGGTGTGAGGTGGTTTGGGTATTAGAAGGTAGCGTCCGGGTCGGACAACCTACTAGGTAGGTAAGGTAGAGTGATGCCGGTAACTATGTATCTTTTTTTCCTCTTTCTCTTTGGTGCTCAAGGCTTGTGCCTTGGCTTGACTTCGGACCGTGGCAAGGCGACGTGGGACTCGAGGCAGTGAGAAGAAGTTGATCAGTTGTTGCCAGCAGAGCAGGCAGGGCAGGGAGAAAGTCACAAAGAGAATGATGATGATGACTTTTTGCGTTTGCTAGTGCAGCCAGTCTTGGGGTGGCAGGATTAAAAGAGGCGAGTGTGGAAAATGAAATCAAAAATACAAAATACATAAAAAAATAAAATAAAAAGAGTGGGAGAGACGAATGTGAGAGGGAGGAGCAGCCCAAGCAGGAGCAGTAGAGACTCAGGAAGGTACTTCGTACGGTGGCAGCGCAGCCAAGCCGATGCGGAAGGAAGGCCCAGTTCCAGTTGGTAGTCACGCAGTGGGTGGTGGTCTGGTGGAGGAGGAGGAGACAGGAGGGAGCGGCAGGCTTGTCTCTGTATCCGTACAAAGTACCGTGACTTGTGACTTGCGGCTTGCGGCTTGCGCCTGCACTTGGGGGAGTTCGGCAGCGACAAGTTTCCAGCCAAGCACCAGAAGTGGAGGAGGGGGAAGGAGAATACCAATGTGAGGTAAGGCAGTCTTGGGTACCTTGGGGGGGCACACCGGGGCTGCAGCGACTGCGAGGAGACCGTGAGGCAAGGATGGAGGGTGGACGATGAGGGGGGTGGAGGGGCGAAGGAGATGGAAGTCGAGGAAGGTGCCAACTGGATACCGTACTTTTGTTCATTACTGTGTACGGAGTACTTGAGGTACACTATAACTGCGCAAAGAGGGAGGCACCCGACGCACAACCCGCACATGCCCTTGCCAATCTAACACCTTTACATGTCGGAGCTTCAAATTCCTATATGATGGGGGGCACTCTGTCCTCGTACTTAGGTAAGGGCGTGGGTATTTTCCTAAGGTATCTTGCGTTATCTGCCCTAGGTACCTTACTTGAGGTGCCTTTCTTCCATCACCTCAAGTCGTGGAAGGTTACTGCCTTGGGTACCTTACCTTGTTGCGGATATGCAACAGGTAGAAGGAGCAAAGGGGGAGGGCCGGGGAGAAAGGGTGTGAGGTGCACCTCCTCAACATCGAAAACTGCTGGGTGGGAAAGAGCAACTGCGACTGCAACTGCAAACTGCAACGGCGACTGGGACACCAACTGGGAATCTGGGACCAAGGGGGGCCAAGGACGAGAGACGACATTGGACACTGCACTTTGAGCAACGGGACGCTAGCGCAAGAACTTGACGGGAACTCCATCGCTGAGGAGGACGGGGTGGGGGTGGCCGAACCGGAGGAAGGTACCGGTACACTCTGCCTTCAAGAACGTGCCTGCTTTCAACTTTCCGATGCACGAGAGGTAAGGTACCTAGGTAATACTCTGTACCATTCGCAAGCACTTACCTTTCTTCACTCGGAATTGGCAGTCAACAGATTTATCACTATCGTCACTTTTCCCTGACAGACCTTCTTTTCCCCTCAATCTCATTAAGGTAGTCTGAGTGATGTCCGGCGCACCACACCGAGGCACAACAAACTGTCGACGGCCAGCCGCCCTTCTATTTAGGTACTGGGCCAAGTCTACGCGCTTACCTTGAATTCCTCCGAGGCTTCTCCCTTCCACTCCGTGCCTCCAGTTGGAATTCCCCAATACTGAGCGAGGGAGCCTGCCGCGACAATGTCGAGGCGAGACGTCGACTTGAGACGAGACACCAGAAGAGGCAATGTACCAGTGATCAGAGACTGAAGCTGGATGGTACGCCTTCGTTGGACAGTCTCCAAATATCTTCACTTGATACTTGCCGTCTCACTGTCCATGTAAGCATTTGGCAGCGCTTACTCAACAGCCAACAGCCTTCATTCATACCCAAAAGTCTGCTCTTCCTTTGGTGAGCAACCAGTCCGCCGCAACGTCTCGATACTCGATAAGATTTCCGAATTGCAGGCCATGCATCAGGACTGCGTGGAAGCTGCGTGGCTCTAAGGATATGCAAGTAAGGTGAGGTATTGGCGTCCTCGCCGAGACATGTATCTCGGTGGACCTGAGTGAATGGTAGGGGAGGTAGCAGACGGGGGCGTGTCGACGGAGAAACAAGCCGAGGGAGCTTGTGGATGGTATTCGTCCAGTATCTCTTCGGAAAGTGGCCTGCCTGGCTGCCCCCTACCATTCAGCATCATCCGGAACCCATTAAGGTAGGGATTAGAACGGATAGCTTATGTGATAAAAGGCCATGTCATCGTCGGCGGTCGCCCGCCTGCACCTGCACCTGCGCCGCAGCGCCTGTAGGCTGTCGCATGTGGTCTCGGGGATAATTAACATTTGAGAAACCGCGTGGGTAAGCATAGCAAGACGCCATCCTTCAGTTGAACACAATCTCTGGGGCTCCAACTTGCCAGACTTGCTACTAAATTGCTCCAGTGCTCCATCCCATCCCATCAATGACCAGGCTTCAGCAAGCTTCCAAGCCAGGCGGGCCGGGGTCGGCAGGCGACCCACTCGATATTGGAGAAGCACGAGAAGGAGATTGGCATTTCGAGATGAAAAGAGGAACATGCATACTTCTAGGTTCTTTGTATCCAAGCCTTCCACGTAAGGTACCGTCTCGCCAGCCCTATCTCTCCTTCTCTTGCCGTTGGATCCGCTGGGACCGTCTCCAGGTCTCTGAAAGGATGATGAGACAACTGGTCGTAAATTTGCCAGTTACCGTTTCTTCGTGATGAGGTAAGAAGGAGAAGAAGAAAAAAGGAAGGACAATGGCAAAAAAGACAGAGGAAGGTGACCCGATACGTAGTTCCCCGTCGAAATCTCCATTGTTGCGTTAGCGCCGTTTCGACTGCACGGTATCAGTACTTGTCTGTGTCTTGGGTTCCCGCCCGCGCCGTTCGTTCTTCTTCCCGAGCATTTCCATATTCCGTCTCTCATTCCACATCGCGTCTTTACTCATCCTCGTCCTTCTCCCGCCCCTTGAATTTTCGACACTGGGATTCCAGAGAAAATGTGGCCAGACCCAGACCTCGCAAGGTGTCTTTGACCTAGGTGTATACGGACGGTAGGACAAGACGAGAACCGCGGAGAGCAAGCGTCACAAATTACACATGATTGCTGTGCCTCTCAGAATCTTGCAGCGCACCAGGACAGACTCGTCAGCGTCACTATCGAAGCAAGCACCAAGCAGACAATCTCCAAGGAACCCGAAATAACGACTGGGCCAGACACAGACCAATGCGTGGGGAGCACCCCTGCCAACCACTTAAACCTCTGGTTGATCCACCCACGCTAACGAGCAACAAGTACCCATGTACCTGGCTTGCCCGTTCCGCGATTGCTATTACCAAACAGTACGGGGACGTGCCTTATCCGTATCGCCGCAGTTCACTTCACTCAAAGCTGGAAAGACCTGGGAGTGCGAATGGAAGATGGAGGAAATATGGAAGGCAGGTAGCTGTCTGTGGGTACGGATATGGAACTGCGAACTAGGAAGATGGACATGAGCTCCGAGAAGCCGTCCTTGCGATACTCACTTCAAGGTCCAGGGAAAGAATATTTGGCTTACTGGAATTATCGTCAGGAACGTACCAATGGCACACAAATCTGCCGCCCAACGCTCCTTCCTACGTCGTGTCTGCCTGCTACGCTCGCAGTATATGGGCACCTCTACGGCCCGTTGACCTCAGTCCTACTGCGGTAGTCATGTGAAATTCCAAACAAGTTGGCCATAATGCAGAGCAAGCAACAACTGGGCGCAAGCGGAGATCTGGGCATACACAAACCTCTGTCTTATCCCATCAACTGCTAGAAGGCGTCAGTACATCCGTCTCCAGCCTTTCTCCAACTTCTACTTTATTGCGAAACTGCTCATAAGCGGATGTAAGGGAAATAGGGTCGGACAGAGACATGTATCGTGATTACCTCTTAAGAAAGTATGGACATGTATATTGACGCCATCTAGCAGTGCAGCACAGCAGAAAGCTGAACGCTCTCACATCGCGCACCTCGTGCTCAGCAAAGACATCCCCAAGACCTTCAGCACTGGCGGATTGCTATCAGCCAAGCTCAACATCACCATGATCCAACACAGTTTTCTCCCAGAGAAGAAGATACCTACGAGACAAAAGATCTGTAGCCCAGGCCCTTTTCGTCACCTACTCGCTTTCTCTGTTCTCTATCAACTGCCTCGGTCTCGACACAAAAATCTTTGTTGCTGTGTCTCGTTGGCGCCCATTTGAAGGTTGATCTTTCTGTAGACCGAGCCGAGCAAACAAATTCAGCCACCGACACAGAAAGCGGAAGCAAGCTATTGCCACCAGTCCCGTACTTCTACTTCCGCATGCCTCCATGCCTATCCCAAAGAGCAAACCCCATGGTCAAGGCCGAGACCCTTCTCATCAATTTACACCCCAGGTGCCAAGTGGACCGCAGATCTGCTCTCTCGCGCGCTTTAGCAGCAATGATTCTTGTGCCCTAGCATACGGAGTACGGGCCCCTAGAAAACTCACACTCAATCCCGCGAGCCTGCAGATAAACCCCTATTTCACCGTACTCCATGTTGGAACGACATTCTCGAGGTCCATACGAACGTGCCATGCCTGCAAAACCTCAACAAAGAAGCATCGTGTCGGTAATTGCCCTCTGTGCTACGGTCACTTTCTCTTCTCTCGGACGCATCTAGCCCCAGCGGCTACTCGCAGCTTCAGGGCCAGCAATTACGTCAGCTGAGGCCGCAACCCGCCTCTCTCGAGATGCGATTTGATCGGTTAACGTCTCAGATGGTCGCTCTTCATCTTTCTTAGCTGCCTTTGTTCGCCTCTGGGGGGCCGCCCTAGTCCGACTTGCCCTACCCGCTAACCAGGTACCGCCTCTGGAGGTGGTTGTCCTCCAACCTCCTTGCCTCGCCTCTCACTCCCCAAAACCTGACATCTACACACGAGAGGCTACAACTTGGTTAAAAGGAGACTACGGGTCAACAGCTGGGCTTGTGTCGACAAGGATGCACAGCCTATAGCTTGCAACCCTTTTGGCCAACCAAAACTGACACGTCGACATGCTACCGTGCTGTAGTTTGTAGGTGTCGTCAGCATTTGGCTTGCCCCAATCTGAAAGTTTCCTTGCCGGCCGCTGTCAACGTGATCGACCTTGCTCTACAATTAATGATTTGGGTTGTGGAGGGCTTCCTTAGCAACAAGAAATCGAGCTTGTTACCCCGCACAGTGCTCGCCATGCACACTCACGCACCATCACCGAGGAACCATTGGATCCAACCAAACCGCCTTCCTTACAATGGACCGAACTCCCGCCGCGTTCCCACCTCCCTCACTCTTCCCCCACAGGTCATGCACAGGACTTTGCGGACGGCGGGATTCCGTCGGTAACGGTGTGCGGAAACACCATGACTGGCATATTCTATCATTTCCTGGGAAAGCATCTCAGAGAGCCTCGGCGTTTTCGGACCAGACACAGTCCAACTCCACGGGAAGATCACTGATATCAACAGTTCAGCAATAATTCTGATCTTCACGTCGCCCAGTGTTCTAGAAGGATACGAACGGACAGTTCTCGCCCCCAAGATGGAGAGCCCTGCGTGCCCTACTCCGTAGAAGCGACAATCAAACACGACTCTCCCGGACTGCTCCTCTCTTCAGGTCTTGAGGTTCGCGCTGCGGCCCCATTCGCCTCAGGCAGTCAGCGTCCCAAGCTTCAGACCGCGAGGCCAAATCCCCCAATCTCTGGTGATCCACACCTCGTCCTCCCCTGATCCCAGGTCCCTCAAGCTTTACGACTTAAGGCGGTGGCAGACTGGCAGCTGCGCCGTCGCAATGTCAACGAATCACCAAAACCGTGCGATGGGATCAGACCATCATGGCCGACACGAGATAATAATGTCCGCCGAGTCTGTTCTTCTTTGGGTTCTGCTCGGTTGCTCTGAGGCCCAATGTCGAAACGGTCTTGATCATGATGCAACTTGATTCCGGTCCAACGTTCCGAGCAAGCGGACGACCTTTTTTTGATGGAATTGGCGAGACTTGCGCGAGACATGGAAATGCGATGAAGTGAGAGTGATTGGGTTCCGACGACAACTACTACCACTACTACCATTCTACCGCTGTTGCCAAAGATGCAGCATATGGCTTCCGTGCCGTCATATCTGCAACCCGCACGGCCTGCAGCAGGTCATCATCATACACCTCTATACACCTATGCAGCAGGTCGCACGCTGCAAGCCTGCAAGGCTGTCCTAGTCCTAGTGGCTCAGCTCTCTGAATATTGGGGGGGGGGGGGCAACTAACCCGTAACTGGCTGCAGAATGGCCACCGGTGCGCGGCAAAAAGTCGGCATCGATATCAATGGCAGCTTGCCGATGTCTCTCAGCGATCCGTCGGCTACTGGCGCCCTCCCTGATGGAATGGAAGACGCGCCGCTGATTCATGAAACTTCAATGGAACAGTTTCCAACTCTGTTCTCTTGTCGACTCGGGAAGTGGACCCATCAAAGGATCCCTGAACCTGCTCCCTCCCATTGGAAGCAACCTGCGTCTTGGCTCTTCACCTGTTTGGACCCTTTTGGTTCTGGCTGGTACGATTTTTCTCCCAGCCGGAAACTCCTCATTACCGGCCTAAGGGATCTTTGGGGAAACTTGAGAGATACGACAGAACGATCCGTCACGTCCATTGGACGTTCGGAATCGCCATGGCGAGGAGCCCACGGGTGGTACTGCGTAGAGTTTGATTTCTGTCTCGACTGCGACAGCCCAACCCGATGATCTGGATTGTGATGGTCTGATGACAGCCCGCCGCCCGAGGGCTTCGCAGTCGTCCCGTCTCGCCAAACCTTGGTTTCTCTCTCAAGAATTTAATGACAGGTTCTCCGAGCTGAATTTTGCCATGTCGAAGGGCCGGCTGACACTGCTTAGACACTGAACTGCTCAGAACCATCTTGACGTGTCAGGTATAATGAAATAAACCGAGGACCTCACTTGCAAGTGACCGACGCCACAAGCGCACGTTTGGTCCAGCGCAACCACTCAATCAGGACAGTGAACGGGCTGCCAGTTGTCCATTTCCCTGCCTGCCACACTCAGTTGGCCCAGCTGATCTGCGACGGCCATATGGTGTTGTGTCTTCTCGAAGGATTATTGTCCCGACAATGCCGAAAGAAAGTGCACCGTTGGCTGATGGCGTCCAGCCAAGGTCGACAACGTCTAGTAACACAGTCCCGCCTTTCTTACGGGCGACCAGCTAGCTATCTGTACTCAGCGGCCAGTTCGACCAGCTCTCGCATAGGTAGCATCAGACATCCTTTTTGTACAGAGATCGAGTCCAATTAAGTGATTCGCGGGGTTACAGGGAACCAGGTTACGGGCATGTCCCCGACTTCACGCCGTTAACACCTCACACGGGTAGTTGTCCACGATAGCAACGCTACCTGTCTGCACAGTATTCCACAGTTGATGATCGGGGACAAAATTGGTTCCAGCAGTCATGAACTCATCGTCACATCGCACAGAAATCGTCGAATTCTCTTCCCTCAGACTCAATCCCAAACAGCAGAGAGCAGCGCGCCTGACTTGGAAACGGTGACCAACACCAGGCCGAATCTAGGACAAATTCCGACGAAATGCTCCAACGGTTTACCTTTTGTGTAGCCTCCCACAGTTTGCTGACGAAATTAATGGTGCTGGGCAGCGGGAAACATGGGGGTAGTCCCGCTTGGCTGCTCTTGGACTCGCCGCTTGGGGACCACTCCAATAGAGTACTAAAGCTGCATGTCACCGATGGAACCGGGGCTAATTTTCTGGAAGCGCCGTGGTCCGTCATTGCGACTCGTACGACATGCTGATCGAAATGGCAGTACGCAATCGTGGCTAGTGGATTTGGCCCCTCTGGAGATTCCGCTCTGCCATGGCGCCGCGCTCTGGCAGTCCTGGAATCGGCGGATCCGATACTTTTCGCAACACGGCAGAAAGCTCGAGAGTCCCCCGGAAAGATATCCCACCCACCGGCTCGGATCTCGGGGGGCCACTCGATTCGGCAGGCCAATAAGGTGCTGCCTAAAGCCCGGAATACGTTGCCGGAGGAAAATCGGAACCTTGCATTGAACAACAAGTATCAAACATCGGGGAACTCTTGCTCGCCCACGAGTAGCCGAGAAGGGGGACGTCGCTCGTTCCCATCTATCTCATGGGGCCTCCAACCATATATGCTGCCGCCGCGATGGCGACGGCAGCCTCGTTCATGATGGTAGCAGCAGCAGCAGGTGATGCAGGTGAGAGGAGTGTCACGTAAGAGAGGTTGCAAACCACGCATGCACCGACATGCAGGTTCTTGCATTGGTCCTTCGACATCACACCTGGGAAGCCAGTCAGAGCTGACCAGAGATGGGCACATGGCATCCAATCCAGCGCTTGGAGATTTGGACACACGGTTCTTGGGAAAGAGCGTTCCCCACGTCCCACTACTTTTGGCATCAGGCCCCGATCAGGGACGAAGGGAGGGGGGGCACATATACCATCTCGGCCCAACCTTCTTGAGCCCTTCCTAAGTCGTCTTTGAAGTGTGGAAACTCAAAAGGTGGGGTGCACGTCAATCCAATTCAGTAGCCCCCCGGTAGATGTACGCACTTCTTTGCGTCGAAACTTCGGATGAACTCGGCTGATAACATGCTTTCATTCTTCTGATTGAAAGGAATTTGTTTTGGGTTGTTATTATTTCCCCACGCCTAACTTTCTTCGAGGACTAGCCACATGTCAACTTATCTCTAATGGCTTCTATGTGTGCTCCGTGCATGGCACACATGCAGCAGGCCATGATGGGTGTTGGTGCTTATATGGCACTTGGCAGCTCGGAGGATAGCCAGTTATTTGGTCGGTGGATAGATAGGTTCGATGAGAGCTCGCGCATGAAGACGTAGTCAGACCGTGGGGTTTGGACTGGGCACGAACAAGTCGTTGTGTCTCTGAGACTACTATCCTATCGTGGCTTTCCTTCCTTCGACGATACCTCTTCAACTTTGTTCACACACACAAAAGCTAATCACGTTTGCATCGCTCAATAGGGTGATTGCAAGCTTGAAAGACATTCATGAGGCTCCAGGTACGAAGTTCTCACTGAGGCCATTCTATAATGGCAAATAAGTCTACCGATGGTAAAGCTCTTTCAAGCAAGGCGTGAAGCTGTAGCGGTTTGCACAAGTCTGCTTGAAGCCCGATAAGCAGACCGTTAGACGTTGTAAATATCGGGCCCAGGTTCTGGGCTTCAGATGGAGATTCTTGTCTATCTGTATCGGGAGTCAAGATCAAGCTGCCACTTGGGCCAGAATCCTGTAGCCTCTCCAGGAGCGGCATAAGTCTTCTTCCTGCAGCCAACATTTCACATGTATGTCTGTGGTTTACTTAGTTTTTTCCCTGGTCATGTTGCCTCGATCTTGGAGAACGGTCTTCGAACTCCATAGCCCTTGTTTCGATCTAAGTTCAGAATCATTGTTGAAGTCTATGTCAAGACTGGTCACTTGTAAGGCTGTGGCTTTGGACACGCTGAAGTAAGCTTCCCCCTCATCCCAAAAGCCATTAAATTTGAGATGTGATGGAGCGGGAAATGGGCGATCGAGGCTGGGCTCATTTCTTGGTAGAGATAGCATTCGTAGTTGTTCATGTAGGAGCCTACGCGTACACGAGGGCCTATGAAAATGTCGACCTGTCCAGCTGTAGACTACTGACTTTTTTATTCAATAGGACAAAAACGATGGTAATGGTAATTTTACCATGCAATTTGGCTTGAATGATTTTTTGTTCTCTTTTGTTACTCGACTACGTTATGTGATTAGGTGGGCGGCGTATTTGAGGGAAGCCTTGGAGGGGGACGTTTACATCTTCGTTTCTCGTTTGTCCCTAGAATTCCTCCCACAGTTTGTAAATTACCACTGAATAGAATACTCATTATAAATACAAAGAATGAGCTGAATCAAATGGTCTCGAAGGATAAGATTAAAGTAATGAGTAAAAAAAAAGTGATACCGACGGCGGGACTTGCACCCGCAACCTTTGGCTGAGACTCCCTCTGTGAAGATAGGAGGCCAATAAGCTACTATTGCTCCACGACGGCATGCTTGTAACCATTCAGCCATCTGGTCTTTTGCTTTGTTTGTTGGATTTCAGATGACGGGAAGGCGCGTTAAGAGTGGGAGAAGGGGGGGGGGCGACGGGCGGTGTGAAGTTTCTGGGTTTGTGTGTATTCCGTTTGTTGGTCTCCTTAGGCTGCAAGACCTTTTTGGGACGGTCATGAAAGAGCTGTGGAAGATTTTGAAGAGTACGGACTGTATGTTTGACCTGATGAATCATTGGGAGTGCGTAAGGTCTCAGATTTTGTCGTGGTATCTCGATGATGGTATGATCGAGATCTGAGTGAGATATCAAAGACACCGTTAGTATCAATATCATCTTTCAACGTTGACGCAAGTAATTTCCCGCCTCTATCTTATGTTCTCTTGGAATCTGATAGATAGCAAACGGGGAGGCGCCGGGCTCTTGAAGAAAAGGTCGCTCTCACTCCGCTCAATAAAGTTAAGGGTAATCAAGTCAGTGTATATATAGTTGAATATTTCAATGGGACTGTGGTCTTTCATGCCAAATTTTGCACAAAAAGCTCTATAGCTAGTAGGTTCGTATGTCCATGAAAATAAGTCTAGAGCGAGAAAACACTAACGGGAAATCTCACCAGGCAACATAAGACGTCTCACAACAGTGCCTTCGTATCTACCTAATACGCAAGTCCCTCAAACGCAAATACTCTTGAGTGCGATGGAAAGGTCGAACTCCTCTGGATAATCCGGGCTTATTTAACCCAATCATAATCACTTGAAAAACAAGTCGACGTCGAGAGGGACAAAACCTAAACCTCCGCTTCAAATGACCTCCACCTACCCTCTCACTCCTCAAAATCGCAAGCATTAGCAATATGCGCCACGGCATCAATATTCCGCTCCAAATCCTCAACCTTCTCCCGCGCCGTCTTAACAGCAGCCTTACCCAACGGAAGCCTCAAAAACCTCCCTCCCTTCCCCTCTCCCATCTGCTTCTCCTTCTCCTTCGCCCTCACCTCCGTGGCCAGCCCCTCCCCCATAACAAAATCAAACATCTGCCTCGCAGCCCTCACCGGATCCCCAGCCTGCTTCCCACCACCACCTTCCAAATACCTCAACACCCCTTCCGCCGCCGTGCCCCCATAAAACGCACTCATCCGGCCCGCGGCGGGCGAGAAGCCGGGCTGGTCCCGGAATAAAGTCCGGAACGGGCCCGGTTCGACGAGTATAACGCGGATGCCAAAGTCTGCGTACTCGGCCGCCAAAGACTCGGAGAGGCCCTCAACGGCGAACTTGGAGGATGAGTAGGCGGATACGGCGGCGAGACCGCGGAGGCCGCCTGTGGAGGAGATGTTGATGACGGTCCCCGAGTGGGCGGCGCGCATGTGCGGGAGGACGGCTTGGGTTGCGCGGATTGTGCCGAAGAGGTTTGTGTCGAAGAGGGTTTGGAAGTCGCTTAGTCTGTTGTTTCGGTCAATTCATGATCAGTGAATACTTGTTGGCTTGGGATTCTCACGTGAGGTCCTCGAAGCCGCCGGCGATACCGTAGCCGGCATTGTTGACGAGGACGTCTATACGCCCGTGGATCTGTGCTGCCTTGTCTACCTGTTGTTGGACATTGTCTTTTGTGACGTCGAGGGTGATCCAGTGGCCGCCTGCTTGCTGGATCTCCTCGACGAGATGGGGCGTCTTTGCTGGGGATCGCGAGGAGGCGATTACGAGGTGGCCCCTTTTCAGAACCTCGCGGGACAGTTCTAGGCCGAGGCCTGAGGAGCAGCCTGTAATTAGCCAGACTATTTGGGTCATTATTGCTTTGCTGAAGAGGATGAGAGGGGGAGGGGGAAGAGCGATTGGTTTTGCGGGCAAGCGGCTGGGACAAAGTGAAAGGAGATGAAAGTAGGAGAGATCCTCCTTTACTTCTAGCTGGATTGAAGCAAAGAAAATGATACTCGAGCTCTAAAATTCTTTTACTTTGAAAAAGGCATTCATTGCGCATCATTACATCACAGCTCTTTTCTCCGTGAAAAGCTGGGCAATGATGTGGCTATCTTCTCGGACTTAAGAAAGGGCAGTAAAGATCGGGTTCCTCGCGGGCCCGTTACCTGCGAATCGATTCGAAAGCAATCAGTGTACATCTCATTCTACAAATTTTGCAGATTCACGGCGAATTCTTTCCAAGTCTGGCAATATGTCGTCAGGTTTAGTTTGTCGGACGAGACCGGACATCTGGCTGCGAGTCAGCTAGTTGCTGACCGGGGGCAAAGCAAGACTAAAACAAAACACCACGTGTGGAACTGATGACAACTCTTAGCTACGGTAAGTCCGTATATACTGTGACTTCTGTAACACCATAGTCTCAAACTCTCGATGATGAGAGGAAACAGTACAAATACCATACAAAGCCTTCTCAATCTACAATAAAATGAATGATCAAGACTCATTTTCACAACTCGTTCCCTGGAACAATCCACCAACTCATCAGACCAAACATCTCCTCCCTCTCTCCTGAATCACATACCATCACAATGGCAGACCGCTACGTCGCAATCCACGCCGACCCCAAGGGCCCAGGCGACGCCCGCCCAACAGCAGAACAAATCGTCCGCGACGAAAACCTAGTCCCCTCAGGTCTCGCCTCCAAAACGGCCCTCATCACAGGCTGCTCCGCCGGCATCGGCACAGAGACCGCGAAAGCCCTCTACCTCGCCGGCGCAACCCTCTACCTAACAGCCCGCAACCTGGCCAAAGCCCGCAAAGCCCTCGGCGACGACCTCGTCAACGACACAGCCCGCGTCCACCTGCTGGAACTCGACCTCGAATCCTTCGCCAGCGTCCGCGCCTGCGCCGCCGCCTTCCTCGCCAGCACAGATAAGCTCGACATCCTCATCTGCAACGCCGGCGTAATGACCCCGCCCGAAGGCCGCACAAAGGACGGCTTCGAGACGCAGTTCGGCACAAACCACCTCGCCCACTTCCTCCTCTTCAACCTCCTCCAACCCGCCCTCCTCAAAGCCGCAACCCCATCCCACGCCTCCCGCGTCGTCATAGTCTCCTCCGTAGCCCACCGCTTCGGCCAACCAAACTTCGCCAACATCAACTTTGACGGCTGCTACGATCCCATGGCAACCTACGCCCAAAGCAAAACCGCAAACCTCTGGACCGCAAACGAAATCGAGCGCCGGTACGGAAGCCAGGGCATCCACGCCCTGAGCCTGCAGCCCGGAGGCGTCATCACGGAGCTGATGCGCCACATGCCCGAGGAGCAGCAGGGCGGCTTCGCCAAGCACCCGTACCTCTCAAAGATCTTCAAGACGGCGCCGCAGGGGGCCTCGACGTCCGTGTGGGCCGCCACGGCGGCCGCGCTCGAGGGGAAGGGAGGGCTGTACCTCGAGGACTGTCAGATTATCGGGCCGTGGGACCCTGCTGGGGAGCCGTGGGGGCCCGGGTACGGCGAGCACGCGTATGACGTTGAAAAGGCTACTTTGCTTTGGGAGAAGTCGCTCGAATGGGTCGGGTTGTGAGGTGCTGTTGGCTTGGCGCGATGAGATGCGATAGAATAGCAGGATCAGAGAAAAAAACCTTACCCAGTGATTCTCTTGGCGGACAACTCACTCCGATGTTTCCTATGCCCCTCATTAGCTTCCGTGTGCGTGAGCTGCTGTAGAAGACTGACAGAGTGCATTTTGAAGTTAAAAGAAGCCTCCAGGCCTCATTTACGTCGTTACGAGACTCCAGTGAAGAAGAACACATCCAGAGCTTGCCACCATACTTAACAAAACAGAACATCATGTACATTTGCCCCCCCTTGAGTATACTACACTGAACCGAGTATCAGACTCCTTGAAAATGCTCCCCTATGCTGGATACATGTACAGTAGATCAAATATCAACACCAAAAAAGAGACCCTTCATACAATGCCTCACAATAGGCTCTACCTCACTGTTTTACACATCAAAGCTGTCTCACGCCGCCTTCTTCTCGGCAGGCACCTTCTTCTTCAATGACCCAGGCGGCGTCTTGAGGCCGGCAAACACCGCGGCAGCCACTACAGCCATACCCGTGGCACCCATAGTGTACGCAACTTCGCGGCCAGCCCACCAGTACACGCTGGTAAAGAGAATCGGCCCCAACCCACGGCCAAGCTGGCCCCAGCTGCGGAGGATACCAAGCTTGCCGCCGCGCTCGTCCTCGGCAGCCTCGAAGCTGCTCAGCGTGTTCAAACCCGAGACGACGGTTGCGGACGTGACGGCCAGACATGTCGCCGCGGCATACAGCCCGCCGGTGGTGGTGATGCGGCCCAAGAGGACGAAAGACGCCAGACAGGCCACGACGCCAGTGCGCACGGAGAGCAAAGGCGGGAGACGGCGGGTGACACCGCCCTGAAGAATAGAGGCGACGAGACCAACGAAACCGAGGAGGCGGCCGTTCTTGGCGGAGCCGAAGGCGAAGAGCTCGTAAGTCATGAAGGAGAGGGATGATTCCATGCCGGAGAAGAAGAGCAGGAAGACGAAGTGGACGGCGTTGAGAAGGAAGTGCGAGTTCGTTCGGACCAAGGGTGTCGGTTTCGGTTTCGTCGTGCTCTTGTCATCCTTCTTAGCGCCGCGGCCCTTGCCTGTCAATGAGGGGAGGGTTTCGGGGAGGCAGAAGTAGAGGTAGACGGTCTCGGTCAGGATAAGGAACAAGCTGAAGCCGGCGGCCGTGGCGAAGGGGTTCTCCTTGACGGTGCTGATGCTGCTTAGCCAGGCGCCCAGACCTGGACCAAATGTGAAGGCGATGGAGAAGCAGGCACCGATGAGGGCCATGGTGGAGCCTCTGCTCTGCTCGTCTGATATGTCTGTCGCCATGGCGGTAGCGAGCTGGACGTTGCCCTCGGACAGGCCGCCTACGACGCGAGAGGCGACAAAGGTGCGGAAGTCAACGGCGACGACCCAGAGGAGCACAGACAGGATGTTACCGCACATGGAGGCCAGCAGAGCGGTGCGGCGGCCGTGACGGTCCGAGAGGTGGCCGATGAGCGGGGAGGCGATGGCCTGGAGCAGACTGAAGAGGGAGCCGAGGGCGCCGCCGAGAAGAACGATATCATAGCGGGAGTCGATGGGGCGGGCGAAAGCGGCCTTGTAGCGGTTCAGACCGGACAGGACGGACTGGAGCAGGGTGGCGGGGCCGGTTGCGTTTGCGATCTCAGGGCCGACCTCGCGGTCGCGGTAGAATTCGAGTAGTTTGGGGAAAAGCGGGAGGATGAAGGTGAAGGAGATCTGGAGGAGAGATGATGGTTAGTTTTGAAAGAGACGAATGGTGAGAGACAGAGGGCCAGAGTGGCTTGAGGGTGTGGAAGAATACCAGGTCGAGAAGCAGAGAGATGGCGATGACCCTGAGTACACGTTTGCGCGTGGAGGGGTCGACTGCCGCCGAGGGCGACGGTGATGTTGCTGCCACTGCCATTGTCGCGAGCCTGCGCTGATTGTCCTGTGTGCAAAAGCGAGGCAGATCGAATCGTGGAGGACGTTAGATATCGGTGTTCGTCAACGGTTAGCCGTTGTATGGGTGATCCAGAGAATGAGCGTGGGGTAGTTGGAGAGAGAGTCGAGGTCGAACAGGGGAGGAGAATGAATCAGCCAAGGCAAGAAAAGAAAGGCCAAGTCTGCATCAGGCGAGGGACTCGGGACTTGGGAGTTGAAGACGCGAAAACGAAAACGAAGAAAAGAAGAATAGTATGCAGAAGTAAGGTCAGAAAAAGAATATCGAGGTGGGACGACAGGTGACAGCACAACAAGAAGGTACAGTACGGATTGACGCTGGAGGGGAACGGGGCCACTCAGTAAAAGGAACAACGTGGAAGTCGCGGCGCGCGGTGTCCAAGCTCCCCCGTCATTGCCGTCGGCCGGTGCATTGCAGTACCACAGTACCTCTCCGTGGTGGTGGAGAGAGAGTGCAGAAACATGCTCTTTCTGCCCTTGTCCCCTGAATTTGGGGCCATGGTGGTGATCCAGTCGGCCCAGTCCGATGTTTCAGGGTCAGGGGCTGACGCTGGCCGCCCCAATGGCTGGGACTGGGTGGGGCCCACCCGACCTTCAGTGCTCCTGTGCTCCTGCATCTTGCGGCCCACGGGCTTAGGTGCTGCTGCGCTAAACATCGGACGGCATCCACGCCGGACCGGGGATTTGTTGACTTGTCCCCCACCCCGGACTCGGCCAAGTACGTATCCGTAGTCAGCTGCTATTTGGGGTAATTTCATTGGACGGTGCTTCAACAGGCACTTTGACCTCCACTTCGGCAACAGGCGCCAACTTGGACCTCACCTAACTTCTCTCTACCTATTTCTTCTTCTGTGCATGCACGAGCAACAATCCGATCTCTGAATACCTATTCTATTATCATCAATTATCCATCAACTTCACGAGACGATGCGGCACTGCCATTCGATCCCCTCTCACATCATCAGATGACAAAGTCTGCCGTCAGCATTACCGTCAATGCTTCGCATAGTGCTGGGAGATGACGGGCAGCCGAGGCCAAGACCTTTGTACTTGTCCTTCCCGAATGGACGCCAAATTCCCAGACTATCGCAACTCTAAAGGGCCCGGCGATGGAACAAGGTCACACTGACAAAGACGGCAATCCGCATTTCCCGAGCTTGCTCAGCCACCAATTAGCCATCCAAATCTCAACTGCCCAAATTGCAGCACATCTCGGGCATAGTAAACAAGACACCGGCACTGGAGTATCCGTTGCACACTAACGATGAACGCCGCTGCGATCGTCATTTAGTGCTGTCTGTCAAACACCACGCGGATCCCCTTGGATTCCTGGATTTGCTCGTCAGTCACCATTCACAAAACCCTTCAGCTGCGATCCGTCAAAAACATACCTTGTAAGGGATCGGAATGAAGTAATCCGCAGCCATCTCACAATCTCTCACCGTCGTCTCAAAGATCCTGAGCACACCAACATCACCCGCCCGCCGGTCCTCTCCTTCCTTTCCACCACCGTCCACGGCGCCCGCTCCGCCCCACCGCCGGAATAGCTTCGCGAGCATGAGATACAACTCGGCCTGCGCCAGCGCCATCCCGAGACACACCCGCGTGCCTCCGCAAAACACGGTCAAATACTTCTCCAGCCGCTCGCCGTCCTCCACCCACCGCTCCGGGCGGAACCCAAACGGGTCATAGTAAATGCGCGGATCCGTCTGCGTCTTGTACGTGCTCATCCCAATCACCGTCCCCGGCGGGAGGTGCACGCTGCCCCCGCCGCCCTCCTTGTCGTGATACACCAGCGTCTCGTCAGGACACACCCTCGCCAGCCGCGAACTCGTCCCGAACCCGAGCCGCAGCGCCTCCTTGACGACACCTCTCAAATACGGCAGGTTCTCCAGCTCCGCGAGCGGCACAACGGCATCCCGGTCCGGGATCGCGGAGAACAGCTCGTCGCGCAGCCGGCGCAGCGTCGAGAGCCTGTTGAGGAGGTGGAACACGGCCAGAGACAGCGTCCACGACGTCGTGAGCGTGCCGCCCTGCACCAAAATCTGCCCGTCCTGCGCGAGCCGCGAGACCGTCTTCTCGGCGGGCGGCAGGAGCTTGGAGGAGAGCATGTCGTGGAAAATTGTCGGGTGGCTGACATTCAGCTGCCACTTTTCCGTGTTCTGCGTGGCTTTGATCTCGCCGATTTGGTCTTTGATGTCGTTCTTCATCTTGAGGAAGCCGCCCCAGCCTGTGTATGCGGATGTGATGTATGAGTAATGAGCCACGAGCGAATGACCATGATACCGTAGGCGGGGAAGAAGAACTTACCGGGAATGAAACGTCCGGAAAAGGATTCCGGTAGTGCGTTGACCAGCGTCAGGGCCCAGTTCATATGCTTGATCATAGGTCCCAGGTGCGTGCCCATGAGGAGGTTATCCGTCACCACCTTGCCAAACGTCTCGTCCTCGACTGCGGGAAATCCCAATTAGCGTCCGCTACTGATGTACGCCAATCTTCAAGTGCGTTCTACTCACTGAGATGGTCACTCCTAGCGAAGCTATATTCGTTAATGACATCTGGTACATCGCGTCAGTTACTAAAACTTTTATATCCTTCCAAGAACAGGGCTGGTATTTGGGTTACCATTGGTAAAGGCCGAAAAAGGATACATGACATCCAACGGCTCCTCGGACCTCTCGCTGAGTTCTAGAAGACGGTCGAGCAGCGCATCAACCCGTTCCTCGATAATAGGCTGCAGCTTGCGGACAGTCTGCGTAGAGAAGAAAGGGTTCAGCGCCGCGCGCCGAAGTTTGTGGTGAGCATGCTTCACAGTCGCCAGCGCGCTCTCTCCAGGTATCGTTAGCTCATGACGTTTGCCTTCATTGAAGAAAGCAAAGGCTTGATGAAATCACTTACCAGGAGATCCAAACTAAATCGGTCCACATTAGCAAAAGACATTCACTTCTCTTCCCATCTCACTCTCAGAATGGGGATCAAAGTCGCAACATTACATACCTGCTGCGTATAAAACCCCCACTTCTCCCTAACCCTCCCCGGTCCCGTATACAGCTCCGAAAAGAACTCCGGGTCGCCGACGTGCACCTCCCACGGACTAATCCGCACCACGGGCCCGTACTGCCGGTGCAGCTCGATAATCTTGAACGTGTACTGCCCGCCGAGAACAATGTCATAGTAAAACTCGTACAGCTGCGTCAGCGCCGCGAGACGCGGACCCGGGACGTGGGAGATGGGGCTGAAGTACAGGCGGCGGACGCCGAGCTGGAGGGCGTAGAGGAGCCAGAGGAGGGAAAGGAGCGCTGCGAGTTGTGTCGGGGTGAGGGCGAGGGTGGTCAGACCCGAGAGGAGATTTTGGATCGCCATCTTTAGATTCGCTCCCTGTGCGGGTATTCTCTTGCGATGGGGAACTTGCTGAAGCACGGGAGAAGATGAACAGTCGCTTTCCTGTCTCTTTCAGCTCGAGCTGTATCTACCCGAGAGACCGGGTCCCGTAGACCATATAACAGACCACCACCTCACTCCACGCCGCCCGCCGCCACTACCATCACCTCACCTCACAAACCCCCAAACTACTGCGTGCCGGGATACGTGCTTAACGGGAACAAAAGTGGCGCCCAGCTTTGAATAATGAGGTTTAGCAACCCGGCCTAGCGGCGGCGCTAGTACAGGGTGGTCGTGATGATGGTTGATGGGGAACAAAACTAGTTTGGTAGCTGCGCTGAAGCAGCTTTTTTTTTTTCGTCATCTTGGCAGGAAGAGATTGTGGGTAATCGACCTGAACTAAGTAGGTATCCGTACCGATACTGAAAGCAGGTCCCTCTTCTTTTTTACTTTTTTGCTGCCCGCCAGTGTCCGTGTCGAAGAAGAAGAAGAAAGTTTCCGGGTGTATCCATTGATAGACTAGGTTTTTTGCGGCCGAAGTACTCCGTAGCGTGGTGAGGTGTCCGAGGTCCGGGAAGTATGCCATAGCTTCGGGTACCCTGGTTGAGTAAGAATATACCGGATGAAAGAGAGTCGATGGCTTCCTACAGAGGTACACACTCTTCCTCTTCTGGATGGCATCTAGCATCTGGCATCGTTGTTTTGTCAGATGCGAGATCTCGGATGGATCGTGTTCGGCGATGAACATGGTGTTCTAGCACCGATCGATACTTCGTGTATTGTTTGCCTGTGCCTCCAATCACACTGAGATTATCACCCTCATGTAGCAATGGAAATCATATCTTCGGGCTTCGTGAATGAGATTATACAACAGAGAAACAGGCCCCAGGAGCTGGGTCGTTACAGTTAGATCTCATCATCAAAGATCGGCCAGATCGGATCTAGCCAAGGAAGAAATTGTACCGCCAAACATTGATCCTTCACGTACGGGACAAGATTCCTTCGATCTGGACATTGAAAGGATGAGGTGTAGTTTGCCATGCTAAACCAAAACCAACAGAACCACCCAAACAGAGCCTCATGGGTTCTAGCCTCTGGATTGGAAGCAAGCAAGCAAGCACCGCCACAGAGGTGCAGCATCGCCTACCTAAAGCACAAAGCACGTGAGGTCTTGAGAGTTGAGTGACGAACAGGCCCACCCCCCGGCCCCGTTTCCCGGGGACCGGATGAAATCGACATTGGCTCCCCAACGGCAAACACCATGTCCGTATGGAGTCCTGGAGGAAAGACCACCGAGATCTGGCATAGGGCTTTCACTTCGGAGGGGGCTTTGTGCCGGGGTTCGCCGCCCACCCGCGGAGACCCGGTGCGTGGAAGTTCAGAGTTGACCAACAGGAGAACAAGCAAAACGCCTTCATAACAAATCCTTCCCCCACGTAATAAAGTCAGGGCTCTCCCTATGCCTCGCGAATAACCTTGATTTATCTTGTTCTCTGACCAAAGTGTGCAGTCTCCTGTTGTCGTGGATAGCTCGAGACACCAACGAAGAGATGGGCCTGCCAAGTTGCCAAGGCTTCGATGACAAGATAATGCAGAGAATCAACCAACCACACCAAGCCATCACCATGTTTGCGGATTGGTGGTGCTCTGTAGACATGACGGCATATGGTGCACAGCAGCAGGCGATCGGTGCTGTGCCGCAGATGAAGGAAGAAACTTAAGAAGGGGGGGGGGGGGAAGTCCCCTAAAGTCTGGACCAGTCGAGTCCCAAAAGTTCAATGTGTGCCGGGCGACGATCTGCAATGTGTGTACAGGAAGAGTGTCACTAAATGACGTCGCGACAGTCGTCTCGTCGCTTACCAGTTTCGGTCACCTCTCATTCTCTCTTCCAAGGACCAAAGTTCCAAGAGGCCTGTGGGATTGTAGATACCATCATTGCCAAGCCTCACATCGTCGATGCCTAGATGTGGGAACACCTTCGTAAATTGTTCCCTGTAAGAAGAACGTTGGCGCTGACTATTCGTACGGATACACTATTATGGAAGCGGAGTCAAGTCAAGCACATGGAGAAATAAGCTTCCAGGGGACATGGCAGTTTGGCACGACTTTACCTTGGTCCACTCCACTGGGATTCTGCCCCTGTACTAGAGGTACGATAAGCTCCGAGGGAAACACTGGTCCCTCCTCTCGCGAGTCACAGCCCTCCGGTTGCCTCCATGGAGCTCCAGTCTTCAGAGCAGAAGAGTGAAGGACCGCACATGGCCACTTCGTAAGGCTGATTGAGAGCTTATACCAGGTCCCCTACTATTGATGCTGCTAACTGGGGTTCTTGGTCTTGGTCATGGTCAGTCTCCATGTACAAGGGTCTTCCCTCTACCCGCAGCGCTTAACCATGCCCCCTGGCAGCTTTGGACCTTGGTAGAGAGCACCGCCCGATACTGTGGTCACCGCGATGCCGAAAGAGGAACTACCAAGTCGCGACTTCTTCGACTTTCCCTCTCTCCTATGGAGTATCTCGTACCTACAGGCTACAGGCTATTACTACGAGCTAGGACGGCGCGAAGGAAGAGCCCCTAGCGGCCCTAGCGAGCTGTCATGGTGAGATTATACTATGCTACGAATACCGTTGTATCTTTTGGCGCACACTGGCGAATGATATCTAAGGTTTCAACTACGGCTGAAATTTTGCCAAGACTAGACTAAGAAAATCCTCATTCACACCTTGTCACGTCGGTCTCCTCGCTCTTTCTCGCCAGCCAGCCAGACCGTGCAGAGTGGCAGAGGCGTGATCGTCGCCGTCTGCTGGGCCAGCTCATGGCATCCTCCAAGGTACTTGTGCTGGACAAGTTAAGCTTGTTTTCCAAGCTTCGGGAGAGGGGTGGTTGATGTGCGCCTTGCGCAGCTGCGCTGCCTCTCTAGAAACGGCCAAAAGATTGCAGGCCAGAAATGACGAGAGGGGGCCGCCGCCCAACCAACCAAGTCAACCCCCGCCTCAATCCCCAGACTATCTGTATCTGTACGGCGTGTGACGGTGTAGCTAGCAGGGCTCACTTCAAAGGACAGTGTTCGGTGCGTCGTGGTGGTGGGACTAAACCGCCGGCCGCCGGTCGACGCATGTAAGACGGGCGCCGCTTGCGGTGTCTCTAGTACTTAAAGACTTGGCAGCCTGCTGCTGCTCTCTCACCTTCCCTTCAGCCTTAGATCCAGTCTTACTTTACCTTCCATCAAGCAGTTACTCTTTCATATCTTCCCCTCAATTGGAGTGTTCTGTGTGACAGAGTCTCTCACAACCAATCAGATATCCTCCAACGAGAGAAGAGAACCAATTGGCCTCCAACAGTCATCCCTCTTTAAGCGCCGCCAGCTCACAGCAGTATCAGTAACACACCTACCAACGAACCCAACCCAACCCAACCCAGTCCAAATGGACTTCATCCTCGGGTCCCGCGTCCCCAAAGGCGGTGGCTCAAGCGGCAGCCGCGGCTCCAGCGGCGGCAGCAAATCCTCAAAATCATCCAAATCAAAGAGCGGAAAGAACAAGTACAAAGGCGGCGGCCGCGTCGGTGCCGCCGGCGGAGGCGGGGGCGGAGGAGGTGGAGGCGGCTTCAGCGCGCTTCCCCTCTGGGCCCGGATCCTCATCATCGTCCTGATTGTGTGGTTTGTTCTGTTTCTGGTCTCGCTCGCATTCTACACGGTTAAAGGTAAGGCTTATCTTAATGAAGGAGGATTTAATAACAGTATGACTTACACCGGAGAACAGAACTCAAGCGCAAAAAGGAAGGAAAGAAATTCCGCATCGGCCATGTCCTCGGCCACGCCCTCCTCGTCTCCACGGGCCTCTGGATCCCCTTCACGCTCTATCGAAAATTCATTTCCCGGCGCAAGAACAAGTTCGGAGGCGGCGGCGGCGACAGCGACGAAACAAAGCGCTCCGCTGGTGGCACGTACGCCAAGATTGAAGAGGGCAGGAGATCCGATGACACCGGCAACCGAGACTCTTGGTACGCCGGAGCCGGTGCCCACACCAACAACAACAACAACGGCACGGACAGCAAGTACGAACCCATGGGCTACGCGCCCCATTATCAGTCCCCGTCCCCTGCTCCGCCCCCGGCCGCCGGTACTACGCCGGCTCCCACCGGCGCGGCGGCCGAGTATTACATGCCGCAGCCGCCTTCCCAGACGGCGCCGACTCAGCACCCGCCTCAGTATAGTTGAAGGATGTCCCGGTTCGGACTACATCACGGGCCTTCTTCAAATGATGATGGCTAGGTTTCTATGATGATACGCCATGTTTCAGCGTTTTTCTGCCTTCTTCTCTTCTCTGGATCGATACCCCTTTACCTCAATTTAGCGTTGCTTGTGTTAGTATGAAAGAATGTACGTACGGTTGTGTGTCACAAAATAGTATATAGAACAGAACCGAAAACTTGGCTGCTCATCTTCTTTTTGCATATATCACTCATATATGACTACTCTGCGCCTTGCAATATTCCCCAGCTACAAGCGCCAGTTGCCAGGACAGATGCTTCCTAGTTCTCGCACTGCGATACCTCAAATACTTGAGTCTCATCTATAGATGCAACGCAGTCCGGCTCTCGTGAGATCTCGGTGCTCCAACCAACGAACCTCCCTTATCCATCTCCTCAAGGACTTCGGGCCTGTCTCTGGTCTCTTGTCTTCTAGTCGGTCGTAGACTTCGTATTGATAGCCGAAGGACGGCGGAACAGTTTTTCTTCTTCGCTCATCTGCGAGCTCATAGGGGCACCGCAGTAAGCGCTCTCCTGGCTCGAAGCTGGGGATTTGCTCCTGGGATTTTCTGGTTCTTACCGTCAGCGCGTTGACTCCTGGTCTTTTGCCTTCCCCTCTTTCATATATCACTTACACCAAGCATCCAGGCCTTCAACTCATCAAACATCTTACCCCTGATGGCTACTACCCCGCACTGGTCGAAATTTCAAACTTAGCCAAATATCGTCAGCTTCAACCGTCCCCAAGCAAAAGACGAAAAGAAACAAGTGAACACAAACATACCACCGCGCAGCCCGACAGCCCGAGCCTCATACTATCTCGGCGAATCCATCCACCCTTATTATATACTACCTTTACTTCTTGGCCGCAGCCCCTCCATCACCGCCGCCCCCCGCCCGATTCTTACTCGAAGCCGATGCGGAAGCAGAAGAACTCGAACTCGCGCCGTTCCATCCTCCCATCTGCTGCTGCTGCTGCTGTGACTGCTGTTGCTGCGACATCTGCATCTGCATCTGCATCTGCATTTGCCGCTGCATGATGGCCCTCTGAGCCGAGGCTCCGTAATCGCCGCCGTCATTCCGAACGTAGAGGCTGGCCTGGGCACCAGCACCAGCAGTGCCAGCGCCAGAAGTGCCAGCAGCAGACCTCGGCTTCTTCTTCTTTGCGAATCCTCCCAGGTCCGTGGTATCGTACCCGCTTCGACCCATTCTGCCCCTCTGCGCTTGCCCTTTCCCTTGCCGCGTCGAGCGTCCTTGATACAGGTAATTCGTGTAACTATTTCGTCGAGTAGGCGCGTTGATGAACCTGGTGGACTTGTGAGAGACTCCTTTGCCCCCTGTATCTGCGACTTTCCGAAAAGAGGGATTCCGGATCCCAAATCGTCAAGTCGATTAAAGCGCCCGGATGCGCCTAATGGAATCGTGTCTTCCGGCCTCCTTCCGGATAGTGAAAAGTGAGCGTTTCCTATGAAAGAAAATGACCCGGTGTGTAAGGGGTCGATTTCCTCTCGTATATCGACTCAAATTAGATAGACAGGAAAAATGCTTTCAGCGTGGCCGCGGTCGTAAAAGAGCGAGGCCCCGGCACCCAGATATCGTCTCGTAAAGTATCGTTTGTTTGCTACTTTCTCTTGCGAATGACATGGTCTGAGTGGAATGGCCTCTAATTTTCTGCTCAAGGTAAAAAGCGACAGACAAGATTCAGTAATGACTCTCGTTATAGTAGACTTGAAGTCAAGCAAAGCTGGTTTGATGGTGACTGATTGTTTGGTCTTGACCGTTGGTCCCCCTCCAAATATCACGAATGGAAGTGTGTAGATATAGAGTAGGGTTTGGGTGTGTGTGTGTGTGTGTCTTGTGTAATGACAAAAGTCGCAGAACCAAGCAACATCTTCAACTTCCATGCGTCTTTCCTCTTTGCTTTATACGAGCCAAATATCAATACTAGAGTACTAGAGTCCTAAAAACCGTCTTGCTTGTCTTGCTGCTTGCTCCAAAAGGGACCATGGTTGCGAAATTTGTCCCAGACTTTCCTATATTTTGTTTGCCCGTCACTGACTCAGGCTGTCTCAGGAGGCTTTTCCTTGGTGTCACCAAGGTTCGTCAGAAAAACAAAAGGGAGATGGATAGGGGACGTATTCCTCATTGTTGTTGTTTTTGCTTTTTCCTCTCCGCCCTCCCGTCCTCTCCCCTTTCCTTATTCCCGCCCTGACGAAATGCAAATGCCCTATCGTTGTCTTCTTGTGCCTGGGAAAGAGAGTGAGACAACATACCCGTACGAGACCCCCTTCTCACTGGTATTTGTTGAGCAAGGGAGGTAAGTCTGCATTGGCATGTCTCCCCATACCCCCTGGCCCCCAGGCTCCTCCTCCCCATTGTCTGGACTGACACAAAGTTCCGAAAGACAATGGACCTGAAAGAGACATGCAACACGGACGCTGTCAAACTTGTCAAGCTTGTTAGATCATTCGCAAATCTCGGGGAGACCACGGAGATGAACCCGGCTGGGTGGTCAAATGGGGCACAGCTGGGATTGGATCGGGGCCCGCTCCGCAAGCATGACGTTCCCTTGGTAAGTTCCGCTCAAGAGGCTCAAGTAAGACGTTCTTCGTTCCCCTGCGATGATCGTGATGATGAGGGATGACTCTCACCCCCAACGACTCAGAAGGATTCGCTCGTTAGACACAGGAAGGGCGATAAGCACTTATAAAAGGCCTTCTGGAGTCAGGGCTCGCTAGTCAGGCACAGCGCCACCAGAATATGTTGTCTCAACCCGTCACGGGAGGGAGTCGTCGAAAGTATTCTTCTGTGGTTTGGAAATGCGACCATCAGCGATGAGATCTGCCATATTCCAGGCAACAAACTGAGGTGGCGATTACTTCCACTACGGCCTTAGTCCAAGGAAACGTCGAACCGAAATGTCGATGCTTGGTGTCTCAAATTCCAAGACAGATTTCCTGGCGCCATCTTGCCGTGTGTTCCAGCACCGGTTTGGCCGCGATAGATGCTCGAGCATTCTTCTGTATACCCTAAATCTATCATGTAGCATCTGTTCAAGGTAGCAAATTGGCATTCATAGGAAGAGGAAGTGTATTAGGATTGGAATGAGGTCCACCAAAGGAAACCATCTATACGAATATGTACAAACTTACGCCATTCACCCACACCAGGAGCTGGCCGATAGGTCTTGGAATCTTCTTGAAAGGCGTTGCCACAAAGGCCCCCAACAGCTTCGTGCTGCTATTTACCAATCTCTGTCATCAAGGCATGTTGAGCCGTTGACCAGGAGTCGCTCACTGCTTCGTCGTATGTCCGTCATCCACGGGCTTAACAGCTTCCTTCGGTCTATCGGTCGGCTCCTCCTTTGCTTCAGGTCGATGTTGGGCGAAAACGTCTCTGATGATACCTATTAGTGAATTGGCTCCGAAGTCCCAACCAGCGATATCAACGATGGTTGTACGTACCTGAGAATATTGCGGCAGCTAGGTCGAGGCGTAATCTCTATCGATGAAGATAGGTCAGCCTTGGTTGGTCGAGGATCCTGCACTGCCGTGGCATCTTGCTGATCAGACAGCCCCGAGTCCTCGCTCTGCATGTTTTGTCTCGTCTGCCCGTGGCCGTATGGCGACTCGTGACTACCTTTGCTCTTCTTCTCGTCCCGGCCGAGGAGTCGTCGAAGCCTAGCCCGAAACCCTCTCTTCTTCTGCTCCTTCTTCGCCGCCCTCTTCTTCGGCTTCTTGCTGCTACGGCGCCGCGGGCGCTGCTCAGAACCAGAAGAAGGTGCCGAAGAATCCCAATTATTCACCAAGATATTCGGCGGCAACTCCAGGTCCTCTACATCGTCAACGTCGATATCCAGGTCCTCTTTGGACGAAAAGGGCCCCCGGGATTCGGTCGATGCCCTCGACCTCCGCGTCCCCCGAGACGACGTCATCCGCGAAACGAGCATGGCCTGCTTCTTTCTCATCGATCCCATGCTCTAAGTGGATTGAGAAGGCAGCCTTTCCAAGGACGCCGAGAAGGGCTGGCTCTTGCCGCTGCCGCGGCTGCCCTCGCGGCTATGTAGTCTCTTGCTCTGATTTTCGCGGTTGATGGAAAGGGGTGGAACGATTGGTGGTTCGTTCCAAGAGCCAGGGCTGAGTCCGTCCATTGTGTCTATCAGCGAGCTTTGGGGGGTATTCTGGTAGGTACATGTACTCGTAGTGATGTGATGTTTCTTTGCTTCAAGTCAGGCGGAATACGGGATGTTGAAAAGGGTGGACGATGGATCTGGCAGCTTGAAGCTTGAAGCAGGTAAGGTTTTTGTGACTACTGCGCCTAGGAAGTGAGAGAGGTAAGCGAGCTTCTCAATGCGATGCTCCTTCATGGAAGGTCAAATGCACTAAGGACCTGCCCCAACAGCGTCGTATGCCGAGTTGAGGAAGGCGAGCCTCTGACCGAGGCATCTAGCAAGCCCGTTGCTGCCATTGGGAAACTACGTTGTACACCAAAAGAAATACTAGGGAAGATACCGTAAGCAAGTGTCCATTAATCGGCAGAAAGCGGCATTCTTCACAACACCATACGTAACTGGAACTGGACTGCAACGTAAACCCTCTCGTTGATTCATACTAATAAAATAGACGGGCAAGTAAATTCGCACCGAGGTATCATCAGCCGTACAGACAATCCTCGCATCAGAGCCGTGAAATAATAGCAATAACCCAATACTCCTCCCCAAGGGCCGTGAGACCGTGATACGTACGTTCAGGAAGCCACCAAACTCCTATATCCTTGTCCAACTGAACATCATTAATACGCTTCTCAAATTTTCACATCCTCGTTAAATCCTCAAGGCCAGCGGCTGGGTCCAATGATCTCGCCAGGTGCCACTTGCGTCCTGATTGCCGTTCCCTTCCAGTCCATCGTTTCAAATACGTCGACATTACCCCACCATTGTGGTGGCCTGGCGGATGTGAGGTACAGCGTGAAGAAGATGATGAGCGTGGCCACGATGAGGCCGCAGTCGAGAGCCGCCGAGGTAATGTAGTTGTACTGCAACCACCAGCCGGTGTAGCGACGCTTGATGAAGAAGTTGAAGATGGTGCCGACGAGTGCCCAGCAGAGGTAGATGTAGACACTGGCAGGGGGGAGCCAGCCTGAACCTCCGTACAGGAGAGGGGTGTTGACGTAGCGCCAAATGCTCTTGGGCCACTTCCGGGCAAGGAACCAAGTAATGACTGGTGTGATGGCGCCAACGAGCCAGAACCACTGGAGAGAGGCGTAAAGTGCTTGGCCGGAAAAGATGCGGGCGGGGCCGATCGCACCCCAGATGATTGATGCGGTGAAGAAGACGCGACCACCGGGGCAGGTGTAGCTGTTGGGCTGGTCGGGCTGGCAGACGTCGGGAATGGTGCCAAGAGCCCAGTTCATGACAGCGATTTGAACGATAGCTGACCAGAGCGACGCGACAAGCTGGGAGGCGAACATGGTACGAGGGGGTACCTTCATATAGTGGCCAAGCTTGAGATCCTGCGCAAAGTATAGCGCTTGCGACATGCAGATGTAGCCGTAGTTCTTGAACATCATCATCGCGAGGGGACGGCCCGGCACCATGTAACCGATGATAAACTCGGTCAACACGTTGAGGCCGAGCTGGATGTTGGTAATGGCCTGTACGATGCCAATAGGAATGAGCCAGAAAACGGGAATCAGAATGCACACAACGTAGGCCCACGCAGGGAATCCAGTTGGCCACCCAGCAACAACACCGAACGAGATGGCAACCATGACGACGAAGAGTGCTGAAAATGATTGTTAGCCTAGCCCAAAAGAGGATACCATCGATGAGACCTACCCAGATACCACCAGTCCTCAGCATCACGATACTTCTTCATCAAACGCATGTGCACGTCGTCCTCTTGATGGCGTGCCAGCTTGAATTGACCCCAGATTTCGGTGCCATGGTACAGAACAACGTGGACGACAACGGCGGCGACGGCGGCGAACGACAGAGCGTAGGCCAGAGCGAACTGTGTTGGCAGGTAGAGAGGAGAGTAGTCGTTGTAGGCGGTCTCGTTAAATTGCAAGTTGGCGTCGAGGATTCGGGTGACGTTGTAGACGGCGCCGGTGTTGTCGAATGATTCGGAGCTCTGTACGGGGAAGTAGTCGGAATACCAGGTTCCGGAAAAGTGGATGCCGGAGGAGACGATAACGAAGAAGATGATGATACCCGCAATCACGTTGGCGATGGCGTGGAAAGGCGGGATCAGCGGCGACGTCAGGTAACCTGAGATGACGGTCCAGTCAAATGAGATGGGCATGAGTCCATAACCTGAAAGGCCACCAAAGACCTTGTTGACAATCTCGTTCTTGGGCGCAATCCAGCAGATCCAAGTGAAATACGACAGTCCTTGGAAAATCCAACCGGGGAACCAGTACCAGATGAAGGCACCGCTGCTAACGATGAGGAACCAGCGGTAGCGGCCAATCTTCCAGCCGTTGGTCTTGGTCGGGTCTGAGCCGGAGTGATCATGGAGGGTGTAGAAGAGAGCACAATTAACCAGGTTCGAGGGCCAGATCATGGCAGAGGGCCACACAAGGAAGCGTCGGGCCAGACCGGCCAGGCCGTATCCAGTGCAAAGGGTGGTGATGCCGAAGAGCAACTGGAAAGCCCAGCCAAAGTGCTGCTTGTAGAAAAGCTGCTGTGCAAGCAAGACATCGGTAGCGTACAAGACACCACCTCCATAGGCAGCCTAGTTATTTCAGTCAGTTCTGTCGTTGGTTGTTCTCTCTCAGAAGACTCTTTTGAGTCCGACTCGAAATCTTGGCCGCTGCTATTCTCCAACCTGGAGAATCAAAAGGGCCCCGCTCCTGATAAAATTCGTCCGAACTCACATTAGACATGGCCACAATAATAACGTGCTCCTTGTAGTTGAAACGGCCGGGTTTAAGGTTGAACTTGACACCAAAGACATTCTGCTCCTTGTCGGGCATGACTAAATCCCAACCCAGACCAATGGGATAGGCGATAAGTTGGACGACGTAAGTGGTGATGGTAACGCTGGGGTTGCGGAGTGAGAAGAGCATATTGACACCGGAGCCAACCGTGCAGAGAAGCATGCCGATGACCCATGCGCGAATCGTATTTGCTGGCAAATCGACATCGTAATTCCGTACTACAGCGCGGACCTTTGTTGCGGCAGCGCATCATGTTAGCGACTTGAACGAGTGTCTGATTTGACGTCCTTTTTCTGCCTGTCCGTCCCACCGCGAGTGATACTGGCTCTCAAGGCCTAAGCGGAGTTTCGCGACATACCTCTGGATAGGGTGAGTTGTCCTCCATAAGAGCCTGTTCAATCTCGAGACCCTTCTCGGCATTTCCGGTCGCAAGCGCAGTGTCGACATCGTTGAGCTCATCAATTGGCATATTCGGATCGAGCTTGTGTGCCTTCTCGAATTGAGCCAGAGCCTTCAGCGGCTCGATGCCCGTGGCCTCGGCATCGTCTTCGAGGGCGGGGTAGGGCGTGATCTCTTCGGGCTCGCCACGTTTGCGAAAAATGGACGGCATCGTGACGACTGTGCCTCTCTCCTTCACTCTACTGTCGACGGAGTAGATTGAAAGGTGAGGGTTTAGGTACGCCGATTGCGGATGGGCTGAAGAGCGACCGACGAGATAAGCAAAAGGACGAAAAGAAGGCCCCAAGGCCACAACGGGGGAGACGGGGGACAGCGGGCGCCAAGGGCTTTTTCAATCAAATCAAGCGAAAAGATGGCGGCGGCGGCGGCGAAGGTGGTGCCGGTCGGCAGTCTGCAGGCTAACAAGACACCAAGACAATGTGACAAGGTAGAGTCAGCCCGCCAGACAAGTCAAAGTCCCACTTCCCGAAGATGTTCAGATTGAACACCAGCAAGAAGCAAGATGTCTTCAGGCCTATGTGAACTTGTGAAGTCGTTCCCAAGGATTCTGCAAAGTCGAGAGTGTGTGCCAGTTGTGTGTTTTTGGGGATAAGATTCGCAGAGTCGAAAGAATGGCGCGCCCAACGATACCCATGAGTCGACTCTCTACTCTCACTATCCCGTATCTACCCCCCCCCCCCCCAATATCGTCCCGTGTATGTGTGTGGGTTCTTCTTTTGGGCCTTGTCGGCGACTTGCGGCGCTGGAAGGGACGGGGGACCCAAGGGGACTAGAAAGAAATCAGTCCTCTAGCGTACTATCACGACACCAAATGCAGCGGCGACGCGACAGCCCGCAGGCCCAGCGGCCGTTTGTCGACCTTCCTAAATTGGGGTAGCGACATCCGAGGGGCTGTGGAGGAGGCGAGGGGAAAAGAAGAATGGTTCGCCGGGGACATGGTGACATTGGAAGGACAATGGGCGACAATTCTGATCCACATCTCTCAAGCTCTAGTACAACTCGGAGCCGGGGGACACCTAAAGCTGACTCTCTGTTGGTCCAGAGTCGACGCCTCGGTGGCTCGATGCCTGCTGGTTTGGCTGGCTGGAAAGACGAAAGGATTCTGGCAGTCCGGCTTCTTCCCAATTCGAGCTGCTCTGCCTCCCACCCTTTGTCCGCGAAACTTGGGGATCAGCAGATCACAAAGCTGCCGATGTGCCCCTGCCACCGATCCGGGAGTTGGTGCATGCTGCTGATCGTCCAGGAGCAAAATTGGGGGGACGAACAACAATTGGCGAACCAACTGCAAACAGCTTCGAGTCAACTTCGTCTGATATCTGGAGAGTCCGTACTTTGGCACGTTTGGCCTTGCCATCGTTCCCACAGTTCAGTCAAGTATCCGTCCGCCATAGTGAGTGGCCAAGTGCCAGGCTGCCTGAGGTGTCCCAAGGGTCCTGGACTCTCAGTCTGGGTGAAAGCCACAGCTGCCAGCGTGCCAATGCTAGAATGCCACTGTAGCCGTCCATTCGGCCCAGCCGCGGCCATTGCGCGAGACTTGGCGAGTCGCTGCAACGGGACTTTGGTCGAATTGAGCCGTATCGGCCAATCACCAGTCGTGGTTTTCGGCCGGGAAAAGTTGGGCTTTCTGGGAGAGCCTGGCTTATCTCTGGTTGGTGAATGAACCAATGTGACTGGAGACTGGGAAGCCCCCGTCAGTGCTGACAATCTAATCTTATTTCCGATGGTGTCCTCTCCCGCTGTCGTCGGTCGATGAATGTTCACCGGGACATGATACTCTTTTAAGGTTTATCGAACACGCGTTGTTGGACGATCCACAGATTGGAGTCTTAGCTCGTGAACCCCTGGGTTCGAAGCGTCGGTTATCGATGGTCCATGGAAGTATCCGTAGACCTCGGTGGGTTCTCCGCTAGACTTGCATCGTCTCTTGTTTGCTATTCTTTGGACTATCGGTCCGAACATGATATGATGATATTGGGCCTTCTGGAGGGCTTTGGTCGATCATGAAAGGCATCAATTTCTCGCAGTCAATGTTTAAAGCTTTAAAAACACCAATGGTTGAAGCAGCAGTTCTTGCTGTCCTTACTTCAAGGTAGTAAATTAAAGATGATGCCCGGGACCATGTCCTAAGTCGAGCACTGTTTTAAGGGGTGTACACTTTGTTGAAGAATCCGATCTTGCACTGAAACCATCAGCTTCCGTTCAAACCAACTCTTGAAGCGTCGTTCTCGGAGACTTGGCCTGGATAATACTGGCAGAGGGATTCGTAGCCATTGTAGCCTATGGAGATCTATCGTCGGAGACACTAGCTTGCAGGGGGTTAGCGAGCCCAGACAGACAGACCACTCGACAGCATTGAGCAAGAAGAGGAAGAACACAATGATAGCTTAACATGGGGTGGGTAAGGTAAGGTAAAAAAAAGACTCTGGAAAAGAATGATCACCTCCGGATTCCATGGTGATTTTTGGGTTCCTGCTGTCTGCCGGCGTACCTGCTGCGAAAGTGCAGTGCCAAGACGGGAACGGGGCCCACCCGAGCTGTCACTGAACTCCTGGAGCAGTGGAAGGAAGAGCGGAAGGAGGCTCCCCGGCTATTCAGGTCCGGGCCCCAAGTCGCAGTTTCCCAATGTTAAATGCCGTCACCCATCCACTTTGTAGGGCCAGACCGTCAGACTATCTGCGATCCAATTGTTCCTTCCCTGCCGGTCTGACTGCATTTTACAAGTTACCTCACCAAACATGCCAGACGGGATATGTCATAGCACGTAACAGAAAGTCCTTCTCCTCGGCTACTCGTTCAACAGAAAAGTCAATTCTCAGCTGCACTGGCGCGACACGCAAGTCATCGTACCTACGTAAGTACTCGATCAAAGAGGAACTCCACCGGCAAACTCGGCATTGAATCGTGCCTATGGAGCACTGAGCTGCCCGCTCCACGTCCCCAGCAAAGGTTGACGGGCTGATGCTGCACCACCAACTGCTGTTGGCCATGGCCTTGGCAGAGAACCCTGGAGGTCATCGCACTAAGAGGCCAGAGACATCATTCCTGTCTAGCCCATCGCGATTCTCTCCCCTCCTCGGCCCGCGATCTGGGGCTGTGAGGCGTGTCTTTCATGCACTTGGAGCTACTATTTCCGACAAAACTTGTCCACAAGGAAACTCCCGTGCTCCGCTCGGTCTACCGTATGTCGTCATTCATCCCTCATCATCGGCTTGACGGCCACCTTAGCTGCCTTCAATGTCCAGCATCCTTCGTGATCTGCTGTTGTATTTAAGCCTCAAGCGGTGATCCCCCAGACTTGGCCATCCTGATCTCAACATCAATCCATCGCATTTTCTCTTCTAGTGCATGCCAATTTCCATCTAGATCCTTGATATCATAACCACAATTGCTCATCCAAACGTCAATATGCCTCTCGCAAGTCACGTAGGTCTTGAAAATCATCCTCCATCGATGATTGATGCGTCATATGAAGCTATAGCATTGGAATTGACACCTTGTGCAGGTCAACCCAGAGGACATTGTCCAACGCCTCCAGGCAACTCACATCACAGCTCCGGGCAGTGCCAATGCCCTCAGCCACGGCACATCATCACACATCCAGCCCTATGACAGCCGATACACCAGTCAAACCAACATCCCCAAGTACAAGATTCCCGATGAAGGCGCCCCGGGAGACACTGTCTTTCAGATGATCAGGGATGAGCTGGACCTCGACGGCAAACCCAACCTCAACCTGGCCAGGTGAACATTCACGACGTTGCCAAAGAAGACCCTCTCACTAACAGCAAACCAATCAAGTTTCGTGGGAACATGGATGGAACCCAATGCTACCCAGCTCATGCAAGAGAACCTCTCAAAGAACCTCTCAGACGCAGACGAGTACCCTGCCATGATGGAAATGCACCAGCGCTGCATCAGCATCATCTCCCACCTGTGGGGTGTCCAGCCCGGTGAGAAGGCCATCGGCTCCGCAACCACGGGCTCCTCCGAGGCCATCCACCTTGGCGGTCTCGCCATGAAGCGCAGATGGCAATTGAAGCGCAAGGAACAGGGCAAGGACACCTCCAAGCCCAACATTCTCATGGGTTCCAACGCGCAGGTCGCCTTGGAGAAGTTTGCCCGTTACTTTGACGTCGAGGCCCGCATCTTGCCCGTCAGCAAGAAGAGCCACTACCGTCTGGACCCGGCTCTTGTAAGGGAAAATGTCGATGAGAACACCATTGGTGTCTTTGTCATCCTCGGCAGCACATACACGGGCCACTACGAGCCCGTTGAGGAGATTTCGCAGATCCTCGATAAGTATCAGGAAGAAACCGGCATCGACATCCCCATCCACGTCGACGCCGCTTCTGGTGGCTTCATCGCCCCTTTCACCCACGCAGGGGCCGGCGGTTCCAAGTGGTAGGTTACATCGACTTGTTCCCCTGCTGGTCATACACTAATAGTCTGCAGGAACTTTGAACTCCCCCGCGTCAAGTCAATCAACGTCTCAGGCCACAAGTACGGCCTCGTCTACGCCGGCCTCGGCTGGATCATCTGGCGCGACCAGTCTTTCCTCCCAGAGGACCTCATCTTCGAGCTTCACTACCTTGGTGGTACAGAAAAGTCCTTTACGCTTAACTTCTCCCGCCCAGGTGCCCAGGTTATTGTGCAATACTATAACCTCATCCACCTAGGCTTCGACGGCTACCGTTCCATCATGGAAAACTGCCTCTCCAACGCTCGTATCCTCGCTCAGAGCCTCGAGGCCACGGGATGGTACACCGTCGTCTCCGACATCCATCGCCGTGCACCTCACAAGGAAGCCAGCGGCGCTGTGAAGAAGATTGTGAACCAGGCCGCCACCGCCGTCGGAGGCGAAAGTGCTGCCCCGGGGGAGACCTCGGCCGACTACGTTGCCGGCCTACCCGTCGTGTCATTCCGTCTGACAGATGAGTTCAAGGCCAAGTACGAGCACATCAAGCAGGAGACCGTCTCCCTCATGCTTCGCGCCAAGGGCTGGATCATTCCCAACTACCCGCTTCCGCCCAATGAAGAAAAGATTGAGATCCTTCGCGTGGTTGTTCGCGAGACCATGACGTTTGATCTGCTTGAGCGGTTGTTGACGGACATCGTCGAGGTCACGGAGACCCTTATCGAGAACGATCAGATCGATTTGCAGGTTTTGAAGAAGCACCACAGCCGCAGGCGGGTGCGCGTCAAGGGGGATGAGGAGAAGCACAAGAAAGCGGGTGCTGCTAAGGGAGTCGAAGATGGAGTTAGAAAGATGGAGGATGGTATTCATCGTGCGGTATGCTAAGGCACAGAGGTGTCGGCACCAAAGAAAAATCCCGGTACAACGGTAGCAGCGAAAATTTCATGATATTTTGACTTCAAGATCTCGTTGGTAATATCTGCCGTATCGGCGAATCCATGTGGATACTATATAAGGACCTCTCATACTTCGTCAACGCGACTACCACGTTGAGGAGTTTATTCTCATCGAGGATTGCTTATGCCTCAGTAGTCCCGGAGCTCATCGCCACGTCCTACTCGGAGCGAAGATGATGAATAGTCATGCACCAGCCTATTCCATGCTTCTAGTGTTAACTCGAGGCGAGGTATCCAGCTCCCACTTCTTCTCGGAGTGTCTCCAACTGGATGGTTGAGCCGAGCTGTGAGCCGCGCGCTTTGCGGATGGATGAGTCTACTGCTTTTGTTAGGAAGTCTCACGATTGTCTATTACCAAAGAGATCATACCTTGCATGACAGTATGCCAGTGTTGTGACCTCTGAACGAGAGGCATAGCCTCGACGGGCTGTGCATCCAATATAGAAAGCCCAAGGTTTGGTTTGCCTCGGAGGCTCTTGACAGTGGCTTACCACTCAAATATTACTTGGTGGTACTTCATTCCGGTGAAGAGACGGCAATCCATTCTCATTTAACTCCAGTTGACTGATCAGAAGCTTCAGCCGTCGTGTCCTCAACCATTACGTCCTGCCCTTCAACGGTCTTGGGTTCTCTAAATGGTCGTCGTTTCTGCCTGGGCGCATTGACAGGAAATCGCTTGACGTTGTCGCAGGTTTTGCACTTTGTGACCATAACATCGGCCCAAGGCTTCTTCCCGCCCTTGCTCAGATTTTCAACCGTCGTGATGCACGACTTTCCCTCGATGAGCAGTGAGTCACAGAACTTGCACATCATCTGCTTGACCGACGGGCTCGGGCGGATTTGAGCCTTGAGAGAGACGGCTCTGATATCGGAGACGAATCGACGAGCAACCTTCTCATTCGTCGATCGCAACTTTCCGAGCCTGACGAGCTGAGCATCTCCGTGAGACCGTGATGATGAATTTGGAGGTGAGTCGGCGTGCGGAATCTGCACAGTCGCCAGGTATGAGGCGGCCTGGTGCAGGTAGGATACCCGCGTGTATGCGTGCCGGTTTGGCAAGCTTTCACTTTTGGGCTTTGCCATTCTCGCTCGTCCTCCCTGCGATTTGTCCCACGTTTCAGACCCTAAGTGGCTTTGAAGTCTACGTTGCAACGAGAGTCAGTGTTGGACCTAATTGTAAAAACTTCTGCAGGGGTGGTGGATATGTATGGCTGCCAAACACGAGTGTTTCTCCAAGTCAAAGGTTAAGGTTATAGGCGGGCACTCACCGTGTGGACATGGATGGACACGGTCTTTCCAAAAACGGGTCTGGTCACATGACGTCGCCTTTGGGGTGTGAGACTCAGCCGCCTTCCCCTACGCGAAAGCTTTTGACCTGCGCTGCCCGCCTCACCTTTCGCCTCCAGTTCCACGTCGTCCTTGGATCTTCCACTTCCACATCAACTACGGCGCCTCCTTCCATCACGGCCTCCAACCCTGCACCTCCAATTGCCATCCGCTTTTAATCCCCCCCGCCTGTCGTGCACTTTTCTCGACAAGAATACGCGGGTTTTTTCATTCCTGCGGTTTTTATAGTCTTTCGACCTTCCTCTCCACGCGACACAGATCGTCACGCCTCTCCTGACACCCCAAGCTTCGCATCCGCAGCCTTGGGACATTTTTCGCCGTTGCGCATCAGTACAACGGCCATTTCTTCTCCGACACTTCAATAACGACACCCCTGACAATTGACAACATGTCTGCTGAGGAGGATCTCATCGACTACTCCGACGAGGAGCTCCAGACCAACGAGACTGCGGCCGCCTCCAACGGAAAGAAGGCTGATGCTGCCGCCGGTAACGCCGTCGACAAGAAGGGCAGCTATGTTGGCATCCACTCGACCGGTTTCCGCGACTTCCTCTTGAAGCCCGAGCTTCTCCGCGCTATTGGCGATTGCGGTTTCGAGCATCCTTCGGAGGGTCAGTCCTGAGTTTATGATACCCTAACCCATACATCATCCCCTCCCCCATCAGCAAAGCGTCCGTCCATCTCGCAAGCCACACAAAGAACAAAAAGCCATCGACGTCGCCATCGAAGAAGAGAGAGAGAAAAACGTGCTGAGAAGCGGGAGTCAAGTTGGACATCCAAGTTTTTGTACGGGCACTGCTCGCGAATCCACCGGTGACAGGTGGATTATACAAGCGGCCGTTTCGGGGGAAGCGTGATAGCACCCCTCGGCCGCGCGAACATTGCGGTGTTCCCGAGTGCACTTCAGTCGGTCGGTCGCTGCCAGAGCTTTGCCTCTCGGCGGTCTGGCTTCTTTTGTATCACAGTCGCGAGCGACACGGGGCGCATACGACGCCGACGCTCGCGATTTGTGCTCTGCCCCAGCCATCGTCTTAATTGATTGATCGGCGTGTTGTCGTGGTGGAGGAGGAGACCAACTCGACACAATGGCTTCTTTGCGCAGATGGACGGGCCCTTTGCACGCCCTCTACGTCGTTCTTCTGCTCTTGGAACACATATCTAACTTCGGCGCGATCCAACAGTCCAACAAACCTGTATCCCTCAGGCTCTCCTCGGTGGAGATATCATCTGCCAGGCCAAGTCTGGTCTCGGAAAGACGGCCGTCTTCGTCCTGACCACCCTGCAACAAGTTGAGCCCGTTCAGGGCGAGGTCTCGGTGTTGGTTATGTGCCACACTCGTGAGCTTGCCTTCCAGATTCGCAACGAGTACAACCGTTTCAGCAAGTACATGCCCGATATCAAGACTGGTGTCTTCTACGGCGGTACCCCCATCCAAAAGGATGTCGAGACGATCAAGAACAAGGAGACCTGCCCCCATGTCATTGTGGGCACCCCTGGCCGACTTAACGCGTTGGTCCGCGACAAGGTTCTCCGCCTCGGCAGTGTCCGCATTTTCGTCCTCGACGAGTGCGACAAGATGCTCGACCAGATCGGTGAGTAACGGCCTTACACCCGCCGCCGATCAAACCTCTAACATCAACCAGACATGCGCCGTGACGTCCAGGAGATTTTCCGCGCTACCCCCACCCAGAAGCAGGTTATGATGTTCTCGGCCACCCTGTCCGATGACATCAAGCCCATCTGCAGAAAGTTCATGCAGAACCCTACCGAGCACTACGTCGACGAGGACACCAAGCTCACCCTGCACGGTCTTCAGCAATACTATATCAAGCTCGAGGAGCGCGAGAAGAACCGCAAGCTCAACGAGCTCCTGGACGACCTTCAGTTCAACCAGGTCATCATCTTCGTCAAGAGCACCCTGCGTGCGACCGAGCTGGACAAGTTGTTGAGAGAGTGCAACTTCCCCTCCATCGCCGTTCATTCCGGCGTCAGCCAGGAGGAGCGTATTCGCCGTTACAAGGAGTTCAAGGAGTTTAACAAGCGTATCTGCGTTGCTACCGACGTCTTCGGCAGAGGTATTGATATCGAGCGTATCAACCTGGCCATCAACTACGACCTGCCCGCCGATGCCGACTCGTACCTGCACAGAGTCGGTCGTGCCGGTCGTTTCGGTACCAAGGGTCTTGCCATCTCCTTTGTGAGCACTGACCAGGACCAGGAGGTTCTCAAGTCCATTGAGAAGCGCTTCGAGGTTGCTCTTCCGTAAGTTTCTCACAAAACTCTGGGTTATCTTGTCAAGTATCTAACACATGTCTTAGTGAGTTCCCCAAGGAGGGTATCGATGCCAGCACCTACATGGCCTCTTAAGCGTGTCATGCCACAGTTTGGCAGAGCAATCTGCTGGTGTGTTTTCTTGGTTCTGGTTTCGGGAAATTGCTAAATTTGGACGTGGGTGACGCACACGGAAAGCGGTCACGCAAAAGGGAAGAGATGAAGCTGCTTTTGAAGTGCAACTGAGAAAAAGTATCAAGCCTCTCACGGAGGGGTCTCTTGCTGTTTGTACAGAGTAGTTATCAACATGGAATCAAGACTGGATCACCACGCTCATTGTAATTGATCGACCTTATGTTGTCTTTTCCACGACAGCTTCGGTCTGTGTCATGCTACGGCTCAGGCCATGTTGCCATTCTGAGCAGTACTCAGCTTTCCTGAACAGCTTGATGAAAGTTCTAAGGGAAATATTATACGTAGGTATCCGTCCACGTATCGTATCGGCGTCGAAGGTAAAAAGAGCATGATTATGGGTAGATACGTGAGCTTTCGCATCATCTTATGGTGAGTGTGCGCTATCTTGTCGAAGACGTTGCAAGTCGAGGTGCTTCAAGGTCTATATCGACTATAGATAATCGTTTCCTATCTCACATTTATGGCTTGGGTGATGAGCATTTACGGCGTGCCGGTCTCTCGTTCGATTGGAAGCAGAATCATCCCGCAAGCCTTTGAAGAGCTCCTTGGCTCACGATCTAGCAACTCATTTTCGCTACATTGGAGTCTATCCATGTGTGGTCGTTGTTTCACACTCACGTCGACCGGAAAATATTCGCCAACCCTGGAGACAGCTTCCACCGTCTCCCTACTTCTTTGGGTAATCGTACGGGGAGAATGGAACACCTGGAGCCTCCCCCCTTCCATAAATAAAGGTCTCCCATCGTGTGATTAGTGACCTCTATAGGGCTGCAAGGCACGGTGAAGAAGTGGTTTTGGGGCAGCAACATGTTCGGTGATCCGCCCCACGGCTGAGTTGAAATTACTGACTCGGCTCTTTACTGCACGAAGGCCGTATCGGTGGTTGGTTGTTGTTTCTCAATACGCGGTTGAAACTGGTCACAAAGCCGTTCAGGGAAAGCTGAGAGAAGGTTCCTCGTAATTCTTTGAGGGGCTTTGAGGAGATCGATGCACCTCCGAGATGTGACAATCTTCTGACCGAAAAGAGCAAAAAAAAGAAAGCCAGGTGAAGCGTCCTAGCGCGGACGTGACCTCTGACAGCTCTCCACTAACTAGACATACCACTCTAGGCTATTCGCCATCAAGCGATGCTGCTTCTCATGTATTGCCAAGAGAATAATACGGCAGTGACCACCATGGTCATAAATTTCCAGGCTGTTCTTGTCTTGATGATAGTCTTTCGTCACAAGCAATTCGATCCTCTCCTGATTCCTCTATCTTTCCCAGAGCACTCGTACAGTTTCATCCGAGATCTCTGTCATCTTCACTAGTGGTGAAAGAGAACCAGGTAAAAGGTAAGGGGGGTGGGCTTTTTATATCCTCTCTTGGTCAGCCCCTTGATAGAAAGAGAGTGTTTAGATGTCGTAAGTCCAAGGAAAGCTGAGGAAGCTAGTAGCTTCTGGTCCTACTCCCTCCTTACAACGCTTTCCTTGCGTAAAGGCTATCAAATATCCTTTAGGGCAATTATTGTTGCAACACTTAATGCAAAACGGCTCAGCGTGTCCCAAAGTCGTTCGATGGTTACGAACCCGCGACATCTATGTCTACTTCTCGTAGCGTAGACGCCCCTGCCATAGAAATGCTGTCGCAACCGGCTTCTAAAGGAGGTGTCATGTCTTGGAGCTGGCTTATCATTACAGTCTTCCACTACTAACTGCTGCCACGCGTACGTTACGCGTGCGAGAGCAAAGAGTGTCCAGGCAAGGATCGAACAGTATGCAACACCATATCGCGGCATGGTTAAAGTCCAGAAATTACTCCTCGCGACCAGCACTTTGAGATTATCGTTAACCTCTCACGAGCTCTCCACCTCGTCTTCGATATGAAGCTGGACGTGCTTGCTCTGCTAGTCACACAAAATTGACACCCCCGCCATGTACAAAACCACGTAAGGAATCCTGAGTGGGTTGATCACGATTCTCAACCCCAGACCATTCTTTCCTCACTCTGATGCGTCCGTCAAAGCACACATCAGACACGAGTCCTACAGGTTGGAATCAGAGCCGACCAATTAAGCTGTTTCAGTAGTAGTTTAGGTGATTTTCGGTACTGAGAGCTCAATTCGCGACGGTAACATTTAAAAACTCTCTCTTTGTAAGTTTTTACCGTGTCCTAGACGGCAACCATAAGATGTGGGAAGACTTTTTTCGTCTTCTGTTGTGCTACCAACTGTGAGGTTGCCACCCCCCTTAAGTCGCTTCTAGAGCATTGATTCAAAGTCTTGGTACATGATTCACTCTATGTGGTCCTTACATGTTTCCCCCCTTAGCTATGGGGTATTCTTCGCGGAATATGTGACTGGCAGGAGATGACATATCAGGGGCCTGGGCAATTGGAATTGAGTATCGATGAGTTTGTGGTATATATGTAAATCCTAGGCGAAGCAACATGGTGAGTATTATTTTGAGTGGAACCCGCGACTCTCGTCACGAGAGTTCACATTGCCTGATTTTCATTCCTTGAGCTTCTGCGAGGTTCATTTATGTCTTTAATTCCTAGTCTCTTACCCCAGTATTACGCCCAGAATATCGTCTGGTAGTGTTCTCTTTTGTCAGGGGGACACATTTCCCTATGGTTCCTAACGTGATTGGTTTTGGGGACAGCGTCACTACTCATCAAGATCTAAATTCATCTAGCAACAATAGTTTCACTCCGGCAGCATAACCTGCCTCTACGCCGCGAGAGGAAGATAGGAGATGAGTTTTGTAGTCACGGTACTCTGATACCCGACAACTCGAAAGTCCAGCAGAGCGAGCACTACCTACCTTTGATTACTACGGTTCCACTGTCAAAGCCTTCAGACCTCACCTCGAAATGAAGAAACCAGCCTCGCCAAAATTCCCAATCAAACGACCTCACTAAGCTGACATCTCCGTCTCCAGCAAAACCAACCGACCAAACCCTCCCTAAACCTCGGAGGCAATATCGTCATTGAGTCATAATCTCTTCTAACACCAAACCAGCCCGACCCAAAATAACCTCCACGTCCACCGGAAGAGAAGGCTTACATCAAGAGTCATCACACCTCCCTCATGACACCCGAAGAAAATTCTTCACTCAAGCATGACTTACACAAAAATGAACACAAATCCTTTTCGTCCCTCCACACCCTTTTCCCCTCCGACTATAAGCGAGGCCAAATTCCCAAGTGGCAACTTCGCCTGCCACCTCCCAAGGGACGGCCAAGCCAGGCAGGAAACACCACGAGGCCTCAAAACGACGATGATTCACATGCCTACCCGTATTTTCCCGTGCTTCCATTGCTTCCCTTGCTCTTCAACAAGAAGGGTGGAATAGCTAGCTAGCCTCGGGCCTGAATCGGCCTCGTTGCCTGCCTGCCTGTCTGCCTGCACCACTGACCAACTTTACAAACTTTTACACATATCACGAGATCACATATGACGCATCAAAGGCACCGAAGCAAATGAAGTTAAGAATTCTGGCTACCATGCACCAACTCCATCCCAGGCTCTCACCCTCCAATTCTCCAAAAGGCAGCCTTGGCCAAATATCAAGTCAGCCTACATACCGACCAACAAAGCCTCGCAGCCTGACCCCTCAAAAGCGGCTGAAAGACACTATACTGCCCAGCCTGCAAGACAGCCTGCCGAACATATGTCATACGCGACAAAGTACAAGGCTTGGCTAGACAAAAGCGCCACATACCCGGAAAGCGAAAAGCATATTTTCACTTTTCCCTTTTACAACTTCGCATATGGCTGCAACCTTGGCATCCTGCCCGTGCCGTAGTTGTGGCGTCGTCATCTTGGCTCCGCTCCGTTTTGCAATGAGAATGCAATGTAAATGACCATTGTAAAATCCAATCCCACAATGCTTGTAATATTTCCACCGTAGTCTGCCTGCTTGCCCGTAAGGCGCATGCGTTTCTTTGATAACCTTACGTTTCCCATGTTCGTCGCAGCAAAAACAAACAAACAGAAAAACACAGCCACAAAATGAGGCTGAATCAAGCGCCGCCAGCCGACCTACTCTAACTGTCTACTGCGTACGTTATGTTTGCTGCTGCCGAATGCTGGCTGGCTTTGCCTGCTGCGCCTGCGCCTGCGTACGCGCGCCTACTTTGATTGGGGAGAGCCGCGTCCGCCGTGTGCCTCGGTTACCAGCACCTAGGGTCCCCTTACGAATGCAGAAAGAGAGCATCGTGGATTCCGTACGAATGCGTGCTAAAAGTGTACCGATACTCTAAATTACTGTTCTAAAAAAGGGGGTACCATTAGAAGCCAGTAGACTTCATCACTGGAGCAAGTCTTCCCACCGCGAGTCGTGCGCGAAACCCAAGATCTGGGGCAAAAGCATATCCGGCGGGGAGGGGACAGAGGCCAAGACTCAAAAATGGCCGCAGGGCCGCAGCGACTCCAGCAAGCTGTCACGCGGGAGCCGGATAGGTGGGCGGTGGAGTCTCGGATTGCGCAAAGCGGGAACCATTGCAGCTAATCGACACGGTTTCGACAAAGAGTTCGCACACCTTGGCCCTTTCTGCCTCCGATCGTTCGGGCTCGCTTTCTACGGAAGAGGTCGGGTTGAGAGAGGCATCGTAGGTTCAACCGTCCAGTCCAGTAACATTACCTCTTCGGACTTGTCTCCCCCGCAACGGGCCATATTTGCGGTGATAAGGACAGCACATCGTAAGAGTCATTCTCCACGACGGAGCAGATAGGTCGCTTCCATATTGACACGTCGGCGAACCGGTGACTAAATCGCCCACGCTGTCCCTCTATCGCCGACACCGGTCCATTTCCTCCTTTTGCAGAATCCACATTGTTCTTCTAAACCTGGGGCCGCTGGAGCGATTGCGTGCACGCGTTGCTACCTGGCGGGTTTCGACAAGGGAGTGACGATGGTGAGGTGAACTTGTGAAGTTTGTACGATGCTCCGCGCCGCTAGGCTGGTCCAGCCCTCCTGTCCCGAGATTCCCAGGTGATCATTTGGCCGAGGCTGGGGGGACACTTTCGTCCTCGCATTGTGTAAAACCCCATATTGTTCAAGGGATTTTTCGCTTCATGAAGTCTAGACTAGGACCAGAGCTGTGTGTCAGCCGCTGGCGCCCGGGGGATCAGATCTGAGATGAGATTCACGCCGTAAGCCCATGCAAGGCTACTGCTCAGCTGCCTGGCGTGAAGAATCGCACAATGGATGAGGGATGGCTGGGCTGCCTGTTTGACAATGACCTGTTGAAGGATTTCCATAGGCTGTCGTGCCGAGCCAAAAGGCCAATCAGTACCCATACTCCATTGGGCGCCTCCTACTGTTCCCTCGGTGATTTGCCTTGTGGTGCTGGTGAAGCTGGGGTTGCAGACGGGTCGTTGGTGGATGACATCCAATCCATGCTGCTGCCTGGTCCAGGATTTGGGAGGAGGGGCCCCCAAGGGCTTGGTGATCTCTCGCCCGTAGCAAGTGGGTGAGAGCGGTCGCCAGGAATAGACAGATAGATCCATTGTCGACGCAGGATGGCAAGGTGATTCGCCCGTCAACTCTTCTCTGGGCCCGTTTCCATGCGAGCATGTCTCATCAACGGTGCCCGACTAAGAGCATCTAAATGCTAAGGCTATGAAAGTGGACGCCTCGACCTTGATTCTTCGGATAGGCCTCCGGAATCCCATCGTCGACGTCAGCCTCTCTCTCCATAATACCATAATATCTTATGGATGACGACGAAAGTAGTCGGACTTCGGGACGTGGCTGGAATGGCCCCCAGATTGTTAGTAACGCCGCTTGCCGAGCTGAAGGGTCACGCGAGGCGCCGCTGTCGCGTCTCTCTATTAACTCAGCTCACGGATAGCCGTGAAATCAGGCTCAAGTTCCCACAAGCAGCGCCGCTAGCGCCAAGCTGTGTGAGTGATGGCCTCGCAGAATCGAGAATCGAGGGGGCGAGTGCTAGTAAGTAATCTGACTGCTCACGATAGTTCACGTCTTTGCTTACAGGAAGCAAAAGACAAATGTCCCAATCACCGACACTTCCGGGGCAGCGGACGGTTCTCCACCATCCATACGGATACCTTGGCGTGAAATGCGTTTGGACTGCCGCTTACTGTGCTTGCCTTCTCTCGATATGACTGAAAAGCAGGCAGTTCAGACGACTTCGCCAGTTCACACAGTAGGTATTAGCCAGGCGGGGAGGCAAAATGAGGGGTTCCGTCCGCCACCAACAGCTTGTCTAATGTCGAAATTGGCCAAACTTCGCTCGCTAGCTCACTCGAGTGACGGCAAATCGCCGGCGACGAAGCGTGACTGAAGCCTAGTGGTGTAATCGTGTCCCCGCAGTTGATGACTTAGTAAATGGCGTCGACGAATGACAATTTCTCGATTTGACAAGCGCTGTTCCGTGGGATCACGGTGACGGAATAACAGCAGATATCTCTCCACATGTTGGAACCTCTGCATCATGGGTTTGCGTTGCGTTTTTTGCAAACAAGTCGCTTAATATCACTACCGAGTGATGTCTACCCGTAGATCTCCCCATTCACTGAGACGCGGGGTGATCCGGGTGGGACGTTCAATATCTTCAGACTCCAGAGTCCAGACTCCAGAGGGCACGAGGACATCACGGAAAGGACTCCTCGCTATCGCCGATGTCCGTAAGCGAGCCATATTGGGGGATATTTGTATCGCTGGGCCTTAGTCATGCTGAAAAAGAGCGAGATTGTCGCTCGGATGAGCTCTCGGGCAGTGCTGAAACCCAACGCAATTCCCATCAGGGGGGGGGGGATCATCACCCCATCGTGCCCATGTGGTGTGCCAGTCAAGCTAGAAAGCCGCGATCTTCTCGAAGCCTTCCGCTTTAGACCGCTCGAGGCCCTGGGTTAGCCTGGGCCAACCGATTCTTTCCAGCAGGCAACCAAATTTTGTCTCGGTGACTCCTTTGGTGTGTCGCACTCTGTGTGTCTGCAAACCAGTATGATGCGTTGTTCGAGATCGAATGTGCACCATCAAGAAATGTCTTCATGGTCCGGTGCAATATTGAAGCGAGTTTCACCGAAAGACTAGAGCGGCGTGAGCTGGAAAGAGTCATACGAATTTTCGGTTGCGCGCCGCGCTGTTCGAACTTCGAGGCTTGAGCTGTAACCCAGCTCACCGTTTGCTTGAGTCGTGCGCACCAGCCGCGCGGCAAACCACGGCAGCGGCATCCTGCAACTTCCCGCGATCGTTCTCACTCAACAGTTGCAGCCTGTCTTCGTTGAAACCATCGTGAACATGATACAGTCATAGCATGGGCCTTTGCGAAAATCCCTTATTCGTGAGCCGAATCGAACGAAACCGAGAATCCACGGACATGCGTAAACGAAGTCTCGGTTTTCATGCCACGGCGCCGTGGAGACGCAAGTCTTGAGCCGCCACCTGATAGCAATATTCTCAGGTTCGCGAGCTGTGCCACATAGGTGACCGCCGCTTCTGTGATTATTGTTTTTGTCGAGAGGAAAGGCTTGAGACGTATCGAGAGCATGAGAACATGGCGGGCCGGGCCAGCTAGAGTTGACTCATCGAGGTAACTAGATGGCCACGTAGCGGCGCTCATTGGCCAAAGAAAATCACGTATCGCAGGAGGCCAAGGATATTAAGAGCCCACTCGCTATCCCATACGAACCAGTAAACAAAATGTGTACCTCTTTGCAAGGCGCACGCAGGTCCTTGGCTACACGAAGGGCATCCACAGTCCACTGCAAGACAACAAATCAGTGTTGCATGGAATCCGATCATGTGTACGGATATCGTAGAATTCCGTCCTGGCTTGAAGAACAGCTCCACGCTATTGTTCTGCTCTCGGAGTAAGCTCCTCGGACGAATGAGATTTCGGACAGACAACGGTGAGAGTCTGTCCAATGAGCGCCAGCTGTATGTTCTTCGCCCCTCTTTATCTTCCCTTCATCGACGCTGCCCTGCCGCCGAACGACAATCTGAGTTCGTTGGCCTGCATCCAAGACGGCAATGCTGGACAGATTGAGAACAGCTATCCAATGAAGGTCTGCCGCGGGGCGGAGCGGGGCTGGCTGCGGCGGAGGTGTGTGACATGGCAATACCAGAGAAGCTGCAGAAAGCCTGCAGCTTGCAGCTAGACCGAGTGATGCCTGCGAACTGCACAAGGGGGC